CACCCACATAAGAGCACATACATCCCTGCCGGGGCCCATGGCACAGGGGAATGCGGCTGCTGATACTGCCACTCGCCCGTTATGGATTTTTACCTTACTAACACCAATCGAGCGAGCCCGTGCCTTCCATGATAAGTTTCATGTCAATGCCAGGACACTAGCAAACCATTTCCATGTTTCCAGAGCAGATGCATGAGATATCGTGCGACTATGTGACTCCTGTGCCACATACAAACCTGCCATACCGATGGGAGTAAACCCTCGAGGTTTGATCCCTGGTGATGTTTGGCAGATGGACATCACACATATACAGGAGTTTGGGACTCTTAAATATGTTCATGTTTCCACAGACACCTGTTCTCACGTCATATTCGCAACAGCAGAAACAGGTGAAAAAGTGTCTAATGTGATCAATCATTGCCTGGCGGCTTGGGCCGCATGGGGCAAACCAAAAATATTAAAAACTGATAATGGACCAGCCTATATAGGCAAAGCCTTCAATGAGTTCTGCAAAATGATGGAGGTTCAATTAAAACATGGTATCCCATACAATCCCCAAGGTCAAGGAATCATTGAGAGGGCTCATAGAAGCCTCAAAGAAATTTTACAAAAACAAAAAGGGGGAGTAGGCCAAGGCCTGGCCCCAAAGGCACGATTATCCATGGCACTATTCACACACAATTTTTTAAATTTAAATAATGATAATTGCTCCCCAGCCGTGGAGCACTGCAACCCTTCCCCCAACCATAAAGGGTGGGTGAAGTGGAAAGATGTCCTGACAGGACAATGGATGGGCCCGGATCCAGTGGTCAGCTGGAACCGAGGCGCGGTTTGTGTTTTCCCACAGGAATCGGGACGAGAACCACTGTGGGTACCGGAGAGACTGACACGGGCGACAAAGCCCTCGACTGAAGATCAGACCTGCCCTACCGGAGATCCATCACAGACCAACCAACAAGATGAATAGAAATAGTGGTAGCCCGAAATGGACAAGAAGATCCTCAGGCATATGCATGGCTCGCTCGCCTAGCCTACGACCGAGTCTAGGGACGGTGAGCTTCCCACACTCCTCCTCTAAAAAATTATGACATAGCTGGGTAGGAGAGTCAATGACGGGTAAGAGCGTACTCCCCCGGTGCGACTCAACCTAAGCCAGGCCCTACCCCATCCTGCACGTAAGCCGCTGGACTGTTAGATGCTGCCCAGGTCTAAATTTCTCTCCGAGGGGATTTCTTTACGGAGAGGAAATGAGTGCAAGCTTGTGTGCATCCAGGTTCCGTCCAGTTTGTGCCTGGCCCTAGAAAAAGGACGAGGGCCTCAGGGCCTTGGCAGACCATGGGACGGCCGACCAGGGTCTAAGCCAAGGACCTACGGTGGGCCTACGCATAGGGCATAAGCCTCTGCACCCAGTCCAGGAAGGGCTACGATGCGCACATTCATAAAAAATAAAAAAGGGGGAGATGTTGGGAGCCGCAGCCCCGAGCCCGGTCGCCTCACTTGGCGGACGTGAGGCCTGTAGTAAAGAGTAAAGCCTGAGGTAGATTACCCCTCCCATCGAGCACGTTAGTTTCCTGCTTACCGCGTAAGCAACCCGCTCAACAATATAGTCTGCCTGGCAACTGATGATGTTAGCCAATCAGCTTGCCTTGCTTACTTTAACATGATTGGACACTGTATCCGTATATATACTGGTGCCACCCCTGGGGGGGAAGAAGAAGCCCGGAAGTAGAAGCCCAGAAGGAGCCGCGGGGAGCGGACCAAAGGAGGCTTCGGCTGGGAGCGATCCCAGGGCAGGCTGTACGGAGAAGGAAAATAAAAGAAAAGGTTGTCCACTGCCAGACTTTGTCGTGTGTCCTTCCTGCCGGCCGGGAGCGACATCGACACCTAGGAACCTGCTTTCTGGCGCTAAACGTTTGCCAATGAAATACCTGTGCATCTCTAATGGCCTTAGGGCACTGCCCTAAGCTTAGGCTACTTATATTCCCCCACGCCACGTGTCCGAGAGAGAGATCGCCAGATTCCAGTGGCCAGTACAACAGTCTCCTCTCCCCGTGTTCCCCGAATAAAGGCCTCTTTTATCTTATACTCCTCAACTTTTGGAAGCATCTTTTATCCTTTGAAGACAATCCAATCACCTATCATGAATTAGTAACAAATTATAACATTTGTCATGCACAAGTTTCTATTCCTGGGAGAGCAGTGAGGGGAAAAAGAAAGCTTTTGTTACTATGGAGCATGCATTCCACTGGGAAGCAGGTAACAAAAATGTAACTGCCCAAGAGAATTGTATTTTGAAAATAAAGCAGGGACATGCAACTGTGAAGACAGGGAGTGGCAACTGTCACAGGATCTTCAAGTGGCAAGAAGCAGGGTTGCAGCCATTTGTATCACTGCACACCCTTTTTGAAAAGATTGCTGGGTGAAACAAAGCACAAAGGAAAAACAATCAGCGATCTCAGGTTTATTTCTACCAAGCTGTACTCTCCCTTTTTTGCGGGGGGAAGGGTCCCTTAACCATGTAGTAGCTGACATGTTTTTTAGACTTACTGTTTAATAACATTCACAGCTAGGGGTGGTAGTGCATGCTTATAATCCTAGCACTCAGAAACCTGAGGCAGGTGGATTGCTTTGAGTTGGAGGCCAGCCTGGGCTACACAGTGAGTTCAAGGCCAGCCTGGACTACCCTGGCTCAGAATACCGCCCCTGCCCCCAAGCATTATCTCAAGAGTAAATGGCTGTCAGGTCTGATTTCATAAAATTAAATCCTACATTTAAGTACTTTAAGCCCCAAAACACTTGATTTGTGCTAATAGCGTTGACCCACATCCCCAACTCTTTTATCCTGTCTTTTATGATGGTAATAGTGCTATCACCCACAGCTTAAAGGTGCCAGACAACTGCTACCTCGAGCTACTTTCCCAGCCCTTAGTACTTTCACCGTCAAGACAGTGCTTTGGTGGGTTTCACTAAACCTAAATTACCAAATCAGGTGAAGCTACCAGGGTCCAGAGTATGTTCAGACCCTAAACTGGAATATAGCTTATTGATTAACAAAGCTCCAAACTCTTTCAGGGCTTAGTAAACAATCTTATCATTTTGGCTCCTACGTTTTTGGTAACCACTTTTTTTTGTTTTGTTTTTTTTTTTTGGTCTTTTTGAGACAAGGTCTTGCTATATGGTTCAGGCTTGCTTTGAGCTCACTTTATAGCCCAGTCTGGTCTAGAACTCAAAATGATCCTCCTGCCTCAACCTCCTGTGTGCTGGGATTATACGCAGGTGCCACCACACCCAGCTCCACTTTTTTAAAAATTTAAGACAGAGTTTTGCTATGTAGTTCAAACTGGCCTTGAACTCAGTGATCCTCTTACCTCAGCCTCCCCAGTGCTGGGATTACGGGTATGTCACACTAGGCAATAAACACTAAGTTGTAATGTTTAATATAAGTTTTGTGTGTTTTTCCTCCTGGAAAACTTATTACCTTTATATTCTCATTCTACTTTGCAGGTAAACAAGATTATGGTTCTTCATTAAGTTCCACAAAATCTCACTTCTAAGGATAAAGCATCAATTAGAATCATCAAAATATCTAGAACCTAAATTTTAAAAATTAAGATTTCCATCATTAGGAATAATGGTTCAACAATACTAAACTTCATAAGCAAGTTCAATGCCAGCCTGTATTACATAGTAAGACAGTCTCAAAAACCAAAACCAAGAGGCCAGGGATTTAGCTCAGTACCGTAAGGGCCTGCTTTGCAAGCACGACATTGTGCGTTTGACCACCGGTACCCAAAAAACCCAAATCTAATAGGATTTAGCTTAGTGAGGAATAGGTTAGTGAATAGCTTAGGAACAGCTTAGTGAGAAGAGAGTATAGCACATGCAAGGTCCTGGAGCTGATTAGAGCATCATAAACAGAAAAAAGAAATTGTGTGTGTGGTGCTGGGGATCAAAACCAGAACCTTGCGCATGCTAAGCAATACTCTAGCAGTGAGCTACAACCTTATTCCTGTGCAAAGAATCTCTTTTCAATACATGCAGTTAGCAAGCTTTGTTTTCTACCACATTAAATTAGTCATCTCCTTTGGCAGGGAGGAATGATCCCAAGGCCTTAACACCGAGTACATCACCAGCACTTTCTCTGAAGACAAGGTATTACCCGAAGGTGCCCAGGCTGGGCTTGAACTTGCAGTCTTCCGCCTTGGTCTCCCACAGCCCTGTGAATACAGGTCTGGGACATCATGATCACCTAAGGTCATCAATCCCTTTATTACCAACTTGCTCCCTGTCACAACACACTGGGAAGTAACATTTTGGTGGCAAGTACTGTAAATTGTAGAAGAATTACTATCTGTAATTCAGGGATGCAAGTGGCTCTATGGTTCTCTGTTCATTGGCTGTTTTAATTATCATTCCAAGAAAAGGATTTTTTTTCCTTGAGACAAGGGTCCTGCTATTAATTCAGGTTGGCCTCAAACTTCGGGCAATCCTCCTGCATTGGCCCCCGCTAGTGCTGGGATTATAGGTGTGTACCACAATGCCTGGCCAACAAAAGGATTTTTTTGGATACCAGGAATTGAACTCACATCCTTGCACTCGCCAGGCAGGTAGTGCGCCACTGAGCTATATCCCCAGCCCCAGAAAGAATTTTTAGAGTTCTGTAAACATGTATGCCTACAGTTACATAAGCCATATACAACTTTTCCAAGTTGGTGGTGGTGCTAGTGATCAAGCCCAGGGTCTTCATGTGTAGGCACACTCTACTACTGAGTTATGTCCCTGGTTCCCTACAAATGAATTGTATGGACACAAAAACTAAATGGAAATGGTCATTCACCTTTTTACTGTAAACATTTACTTGTCTAGGGAAGGCATAATGAATATTGAAAATCAAGCCTAAAGCTACATTAATTATGAACTCAAAGGCCATTTACAATTTAAGTGCTCTCTCATACAAAGCATCAGAAAGTTAAAACAAGTACTAGTCTTAAGCAGTCACAGAAAGTCTAAGCCACATTTATTTGCACATATATAGTAATGGGCAACAGACACTCCAGGTTCATACAAATTCATAAAACACCAAAGTTAATAATCACTTGGTACACTTGTGTGCTATCTTGCTTACATATTCAAGTATAGATGAACTTCCTTCATTTTGTAAACTTCCATACAATACTTCCTTAAACAGAAAAATTCTTGAAACCACAGATTGGCATGTTTCAGTTAGAGCCAACACAAAGGTTAAGACAAGACCACAAACCCAAAAACCAAAAGTTTAGGAGATACTGTACTTCTAACTCCTTTCCCTAGAAAGAAGTGATTATTTTAACAGTTTATATATGCTGTTATCACACAAGTAACCATGAAGACAAAAGAATGATGTTCCCATAGTTAGGAAGAAAATGACAACCAAATCATATTCTTTTATCTACCAACCATATGGTTTAAGAAAACAAGAAAATGCTTAGATTAAAACAAGGGAAATTAGGAAATAGTGATTTTTAAAAAACAATTCCCTCACAGACGCAGAAACCTGATTCTGACAACTCAAAATTGTAATTGTCTAAGGCAAATAAAAGTGAGGAAACCTTAATAACATTCTAATTATGTTTAGCATCTAATGATAAAAGCTGAAAATGATATCGAGATTATTTATTATACTATTGTCAACAAGAACATCCCAAAAATAATGAAAGAAATGCACATTTATTTCTACAAAAGCAATATATGATACAGAATTACGGTACAAGGGAACAGACTTAAAAGATTTACCTATTAAAATATACAGATTCTTACTGAAGAGTGTATGATACTTAAAAAAGATGACAAGGGATGTTAATCTTTTTTATTATTATTATTTTTACATATTTTGGAACCTCACATAATTTTGATAAATAACTCTTACAAAATTATGCAAAAAGTACAAGAATGTCTGGTAAACAAACAGTCTGTATTTTCCAAAAAGACTTTTTACAACATGCATTTCTTAAGGCAGCATCCTCCTTACAAGGAAAGGTAATCCTTTTACTCATCAAGAAATCTTCTGCTGCAAATAGGCTAAGAAAGCCTGGCTTCTTCCATTAACGCCTTTTGTCTTTCCTGTCTGATTTTCGGTCTCTTTCACTTCTTGAAGATCTTTTGCCTGTTCGACTACTCTCTGATATAGACCTCTTTCTGTCGGACCGGGAACTCTTATCCTTTGATCCTTTTGCATCTCTACTACTACCACCTTTTGAAGATTTGTGACTTCTTTCTAGTCCTGAAGTATCCCTCCGCTTCCGATCCACGCTCCTTCTGTGCTTTCTATCTCTGTTATGTCCCCGGCCTCTACTTCGACTCCTACTTTCACTACTACTAGTAGTACTGCTGCTACTGTCTCTGCTGCTGCTACCGCTTGTGCTGGAGCTGCTGCTGGAGCTGCTACGACTACTACTGCTGCCACTGCTGGAACTGCTTCCACTGCTGCTACTAGTTGAGCTGCTACTCGAACTACTACTGCTACTGCTTCGACTTCTGCTCTTGCTTGTTTTATTTCTGGCACGACCTCTACTCCTGCTCCTAGTTTTGGTTTTGCTTTTACTTTCTGCAAGTATCGTCAAGACTGGCTCTACTGGCACCTCAGTGGGCTTCACAGATTCTACAGCAAATTCCTTCCGCTCAGGTAATAAGTTTCCTTGATCCTGAATAACCTGAGGTGATGGCTGTAAGACAGCTAATGGCAAAGTTTCAGGCTGAGAAACAGGCTGGGGCTGGAGTACTGGCTGGGACTGCGGCTGGGGCTGGGGCTGGGACTGGGGCTGGGGCTGGGGCTGGGACTGGGTTGTGGGCTGGGTTGGAGGCTGGGGCTGAAGCTGGGACTGGGGCTGAGGCAGGGGCTGAGGCTGAACCACAGGCTCAAGTTGAGGCTCAGATTCTTTTCCTTCTTTTTCCTCAGATTCCTTTTCCATTTCTACAGCACTAATATTTTCTTTTCCAGGAGAAAGAGATTTACATTCTTTATCTGGCTCAACTTCAAATTCCATCTCTGGCTCCAATTCTTTGCTAGTTTCATTTTCTGAAGGCTCCATACTTTCAACTTGGTTAGTTTCCATTACCTCCTGCTCAGCAACTACACTTTTGACATTCTCAACCATCTCTAGCACATCTATAACCTCTTCAGCCTGACTATCCTGCTGCTTCTCACTCTCTCTTACCTCAGTTTCCTCCTCCATCTTAACCTCCATTTCCTGTTTCTGTTCCTCCTCTTCCTGTTCTTTTTCTGCATCACTATGAACTATACCTACTTCTTTTTCCTCTTCCTCTCCTGCTTCCTCTATTTCTACATCATTGTGCTGATTACCTGTCTCCTCCAACTCTTCCTCTCGCTGAGCCACCTTACCCTCTTCTTGTTCCGCCTTGGGTTCTTCATTACGCACCACCTGATGCTCTTTTTCCTTCATTGATTGTCTTCTAGGCCTAGCCTCCATTTTATTTATTTGTTCTGCAAATTCGATGCGTCTACCTTCAAATAAAGCTAAGAATAAAAATGTACATGTGTAACCAAGAAATGTCAGCATTTTGCACATTTTGCAGTCATAAGCTGTTACTAGCTTCAAGTAAATGTCTATGTAAAGAGACGGGACAAACAGTTATTGTAACAAGTACAAATTGATACCCAGTAACAAAAAACCACCAGAAACCTACACACTAAGAAATTAGCAAGGAAAACTAGACTACTTTTTATTGATTAAAAAGAAATCAATCTTTTGTTATTTATATCTATGGTAGAAGAAAATTAACAAAGCTGTTTTAAAAGCAGAATCAGTTTTTAACATATGCATTAATTTTTCTAATCCCAGGAAAAAAAAAATTACCCTCAGTGTCTACCCTTCCTTGTGGGCACCCTCCAAAAACTATACAAATGGTATCCTTGTATAACTAGAAGTTTTACTACTAGCAAGCATAAGAAATCTTACATACATACAAACTGATATTTATAAATATATTATGTTACTCTTTAAGAAATGCTATGGACTTCTTTTATGTACTTACCATTCATTTTTCTCTGTGATTCTTCTATTAATTTTTGGGTAGCTGGACACATTCTTCCAGGAATATAAAACAAATGGGGCTTTGTCTTAGTTCTTATATATTTAATTATCTTGGCATTATGCTCATTCCATTCTTCTTGCTAAAGAAAAAGCGTAAAGTCAGTGCTTTTGTCAACATAAAGGGTTACCAATCTTCAAAGTCCAAAATACTACTCACCAGTTGCGCAAGCTCAACTTTCTGCTCCAAAAGCCGCAGCTCTGTCTGTTTAGCACGCCTCTCTTCAAATAGCTCTCTCCTCTCATTTTCAACCTGCTTTCTCTCTTCTTCTGCTTGAACTTCAAGTTTTTGTTCAATTTCTTGGCGCCTCTTTTGCTAAAAGTAAGTTAGCTAATTTAATGACTATGTATTACATAACAGGTAAAAAAATACGTTTTACTTGGTGTCAGTTTGTCAGTTCAATTATAGTAAAAGCTTATTATATAACCTAAGTATGTGAGACATTACAGTTTTACTATGTAAAGTTATCTGCAAACATGCTTCATTTTTTATTCAGGGTACTATTAACTCAATGTAGTACTTTTCATTTGGGACCGATTACAATCTTTCAGAAATAGGGAGTGAAGCTTTTCATTTTTTTAAAAAGTAATAATGTAGTTTTACTAATGGCAGGAAAAAGGCTCTGCAGAGCAAGTTTGGGACAAGTAAAAGTAGAAAAAGTACACTCCAGTACACTCTACAGCATGAGGACAGGCCACCATACAAGAGAGAACACAGTGCCAGGTCCTTGGCATTTTCACATAATAACCTAAAAGTTTAGGCCATTAATCATAAAACAACCCATTCCATTCATTAAACTTCAGTAAGTTTTCATAAAAGTTAATCTACAAAAGGGTCTCAGGTTACTAAGTTATTCTTTCCAAGTCAAAAGGCCTACTAGTCATATCTTCCTATTTCAAAAAAACTATCCAATTCTTCAAACATTAACATACTTTTATTCTGCATTAACTTATAAGTGTTGGAATATTTAAGCAATCTCCTACAATCAAATTATTACTTCTCTAGTATAACTCTCTATAAGCAATAACCTGGGGTTGAATTCTAGATGTAATTTTATAAGCTTCATCATAATAAAACATAAAAGACAGATGACAGTTAAACTGAAGGTCAGAGAATATTTACACTTTTACTTCCAGAGCACTAGGAAGTACTGCCTTTTTTTTTGGTACTAGGAATTGAATTCAGGACTTTCTGCTTGCCAGACTGGTACTGTGCCACTGAGTTATACGTGTCTTTGAGTGTGTACTGAAATCTTAAAAATTAGAATCACTCAACTAATTGCAAGATCGAGGACTGTTTAAAAGAAACACTTATAACACTTAAGAAATATACTTATTTAAGACTACATACACTGTAAGGTGGTTAAAGAACTTAGAGCAAAAACTAGGTTCTCAAGAGGTATAGGCCAGGGTTCTTTGTGCCATATACAGAAATTTACTCAACCTGCAACTCCAAACAGTTGAAAATATAACATTCTCAAAGTTTCTATGTAAAATTTTACCTGGCTTTATTTTAGCTTTGTGATTAAGTCTTAGGAAAGCTTTTTAAATCTTTTAAACTGGACCTGGCAGACTAACTCAGTAACAAGAGTGCTTGTGTAGTATGACAAAGGCCCCGAGTTCCAGTTTCAATACCATGAAAAACAGATGCATACGTTAACACAAAAATAAAATTGCATATATACCCTTTCAGTAGCAACAGTGGATTCTTGTTTAAATTTCTGAAGAGTACCCATCAACAAGCCAAATATTCGCCGGTTCCTAAGAGAAAAATAAAAAACAATTTTAATAAAATGCGTTTCATTACAACGGCCATTTTCGAAGACATAGCAAAGGCATGTATAAATACTATAATTTTTCTTGACAGATTTTTCCACAGGGGAGTGTCTAACAGATACCTTTGCTTCCCCTTTTCATCCATATTTTGATCCTGGATAAGGTCTCTGCGTGTACGCTCTTTGGAGGTAGCTACAACCGAAGACTGCAATGCTGGCTACAAAAGAAAATTTCAGTAATTTAGCATATAGGTAGCAGATTTCAAATGTAACAAGGTAAAAATAATAGTGTTTACAACTTTAAAGGTTTTTTTTTTTTTTTTTTTAAATCTTTTTAAGACAGGGTTTTGCTATGCACTTTAGGCTGGCCTTGAATTCAGAGCAATTATTCTACCATAGCTTCTAGAGCTGGAATTATTGGTACATGCCACTAGGTTCAGGCTTTTTTTTTTTTTTTTTTTTGAGACAGGGTCTCACTATGTAGTTCAGGCTGGCCTAGAGCTCTTTGTAACCCACGCTGGTCTTGAACTTCCAGTGATCCTCTTGCCAAGCCTCCCAAGTGCTGAGACCTGTGATACCCACACTAAGTCTGGCTTCTAATAAATTCTTAATCTTTGTACCTTTTTAACATCATCATCCTCTGGGTCGCTTTCTTGGCGTGATTCTCTTCTTGTCCGACGCTCTCCACCCAGCCTGTCATAGAAAAAATAATTTAAATAATGGCTACAGAATTCGAGGTAAAGCTCACACCAAAGGCAAATCTCTTCTTTCTTCAAGAGTCCCTCTAGAACTCATTCTATCAGTATTCATCTCATTTTACTTTTTCCTGTTGTTGTTGTTTTTTTTTTTTTGAAACAAGTTCTTGGCTATGTATTTCAGGTTGGCCTCAAAATTGTGCCTCAGCTGCCCAAGTGTTGAGATTACAGGCATGTGCCACTAGTGTCATTTTACTCTTCCCTATGGTAGCAAAAGGATAAAATAGCAGCTAATGTCCAATTCAAACTTTGTGTTCCTCTAAGTTTAAATATTTCTCAGGTTAATAAGGTCTTCAAAGTACTACAAAACAGAAAAAGTAGTACAAACTGACAATTCTTTCAAGATCCTTATATTGATAACATTTTGATATCAAAGTAACTGACTTTTGGGAGAGGTGGTCCCACTTCAGTCAAATATCAACGAATCTCCAAGGGAGAAGGGTACTGCACTAAATTCTAATGTAACTCAACCTGCAGAGTATGGTGGTGCATACCTATAAGCCACAAACTCATGAGGCTGAGGCAGGAGGATCACTTCCAAGTTTGAGGCCAGCCTGGGCTACATAGTGAATTCAAGGCCAGTCTGAACTACATAGAGAAATCCCATCTCAAAAAGAAAAAAATCCTCAACCCAACCATAGTTATATATTTTCTGTACTATCCCAGATAATACAAGGATGCCTTTAGGACCTTTTCCCCCTGCAAAACATACCTACTGACTGCCCCTTCAAGGTCTCTCTGTTTGGCTGGGGGTCCTCCTCCACTATCTGAGAATCCACGCCTGCAATTTAAAATGTTCATCAGAAAGCATTTAAAGTATAAGATAAAGTACATCCACCTTGCAAGAGAACTTAGCTGACTTTAAAAATCTTCCAACTGAAGTAACTTTACAAAGGTACTCACTTCAAAAAGTCTGCATTTATTTTCGTGACACCAGGAACTCAACTCAGCCTAGTGTATCAAGTACTTGAGCACCAAGCTTCATCTCTACAGCTCAAAAAACCTTCTATGGTTATTTTTTAAACCACAACTAGGTTTGTACCAAATGCTACAGTTAATATATTCTTCGTAAGGCTGGGGATATGTAGATGCTACCAAGCCAGAGCCAGAGCCAGAGGCCTAGGGTTTGATTTCTGATACCAAACAAGACAAAAGGAAAAAAATATATCTTTTAATTTCAGTTTTACACATAAAGCTCCAGGATAATTATACTTATATTGATAACTAGGAGATGAATGACAACATTAAACAAAAGTAACACACACGTTTATTTTAACATTAGCTCTATCACAGTTCATTCAAACCAGCATGTTAATACAAACAATACCAACAGTTTTAACAGGAATTAAGGCTTATGAAAATCTTACCTCAGCAGTAAACTACCACGTCCTCTACCTCCACCAGGACCAGAAAGGGCCAGCAACCTGGCTTGGATGGGTCTACAAAAGATTGACAATCCACACAGAAATCACACATATGCAGTCACTTAGAATTCTCAGAAATCCCATCTAAGGGCACCCGGTCCTCCCACAGGTACGGTTCACCATAGAGGAAAAGGGAACTGCAGGTCTGAAATGACGGTTTCTCCTGCACGTGTCTGGAACTCAACAGGACCGCGATTTCATGTTCTGCTTTTTCCCAGGGCATCACAGAAATCGCATTGCCCTGGACACCGCCGCCGCCGCCACACTCCGGCCCGGTCGCTCCCGCGTCCCCGCGGAGGAAGCGGCCGGGCGGGAAGGCGCTTTGTGCTGCAGTTCCGGGCCCGCAGCGCCCAGAGAGGGAAGCGGCAGTCAGGGCCTCCTTAGAGCGCGGCCGGGCCTCGACCCCTTCCTCCTGCAGCCTGCGACCTCCCCACGTCGCCCGGCCCGCGTTTGCACTGCCACCCGAGCAACAGGCCTCGAGGCTCCCACCTTCTCCGGGCGGGCGGGCAGGCCGCCCTTCGCGTCCCCGGCCCACCCGGTTTGAGGGCTGTCTCTCCGAGCGCGTGGTTGCCGTACGGTCCTTACCTCACGTCATTTGGATCTCGCCCGGTGAGCTTGCGAATATTCTCATCCACGTTTTTTAGGCTCTCTTTGGCCTTTTCTAGCTGCTCCTGCAAAGTTCTAACCGCGACCGCCATCTTCCCCCTGCAGCAGGATTCGAGACGGCTCCACAGGCCTTGCCGAGCTGTACCGCGCCGCGAGAGCCCAAAAGACTGACAGAGAGGTTCAGCCAATCACCGTAGGCGTTATCTTCCGGCCTCAACCACAAGGCTACCGGAAGGGGGTGAAGAGGCGAGGTCTTGTGACCGTGGGCCAATGAAAAGTTGGCCAGGTGGCCGCCTCCCTCCTCAGTTAGCTGCGGGTGGCTGGGCCTGGTTTCTGGCGCAGAAATGGGGAGGGCTTGGAGAGTCCTTGCTCTTCCGAGCTGTGAGTGCGCAGGTTTGCGGTTCTGCAAAGGAGAACGCAGAGCTTTCTAGCTTTTTAAGCCTAGGATGTGACCTGCTTTAAATTGTTTTAATACATAATAATAACATACCCTCACCTCTTTCCCTCAGTGATTTCCTTGGGAAGGGGCGCGGCCATTATCTTGGTGCGCATGCTCAAAGGGAAGGGCCCGCACGCCAGTGGATTAGATTGAAGGAAGCGAGGGCAGGGCGAATAGGAAAATTCTGTCGTAACGGCTGACCATTGAGGTGGGCTGGTTTTGTTGTGGGTGCTGCGTGAGACGCTTTACATGGCTTATTCTTCACACTGAAAGCTTACATAAAATGCTTGTGATTGCCTGACAAGAAAATTGAGACTGGACGTAGTGTAACTGCCCCTAGGTCATACAGGTGGAATTACTGACTGATCAGACCCTGTGCAAAGCTGTACTGAGGATGGGGGCGGGGGAGAGGGGAGGCAGCGATGTACGCTTTACTCTCTTTGATTGGTCTAGTTTTGTTGATTTGATAGGAAGTCTGGGACGGCAGCTCCGTGTGTGGTATGTGTGTCCTTAAGTTTTTACCATTCTTTTTTGATATTGGAAATTAAACGCAGGGCTTCCCACTGAGCTACAGCCCAACTCTTTAGATACTTATTTTTTAGTTTACTTTTTAAATTAAATTAAAAAAAAAAAAAACAACAGGGTCTTACTGTGTAGTCCAGGCTGGCTTTGAACTCACTATGTAGCCCAGCTGGCCTTGTACTTAACAGGCATCTTCCTGCTTCAGCTTTCTACAGTGTTCATCCTGCCTCAGTCTCCCCAGCGCTGGGATTGCAGGCTGTGTCATCATGCCCAGCTATTTTCACTTTTAGAGACAGCCTCTCCCTATGTGGTTAGATTGCCCAGTTTGGTTTTAAATTTATGATTCTGAGGGAATGGTACAGCTGGCTGGGGAGTGGACATGACCTGTTTTATGATTTGTGTCTAGATCGCCCCAAAGCCTCATACATTATTAGATGGGCATTTTTTGGAGGTAGCCGAATCTAGAGTTTGTGATGGATTTATGGTCAAATGCTGAGATTAAGCGAGTAAGTGCTCTGCTACACCTACCCTAGGGTGGGTAGCCTGCATACCATTTAAGGGACAGAAAGAGTCTTGTTTCTCCCTTGTTGCTTTTGCTGTTTTCGGGCACCATGAATTGTTGCCCCTTTGCTATGTGCCACCCTGCCTTGGAGCCAGTTGATTATAGACTAAAACTGCTACAGATGTGAACTGAGTAAACCTTTCCACCCTTAACTTGTGGGTATTGAGTATTTTGTCTCAGCAATGAAAAAAATAACAGTCTACCAGCTACAAAATCCAAGAGCAGTGCAGAACACTTCTCAAAACCCTACACGTGGACCCCATCAGAGAGCACCATTTTCAGCTCCTCTAGTGGGCACTCAGCTGGTTTTATATAGGACAGCCTTAAATTGAAGGCCTGAGGACTGGGAGGCACAAAAAGTCCTCAAGGACCTTTGTGCTATTGCATTCTCTCTTTCATAGTAGTCTCCTCTCAGAATAATAGCCCTTTTCTTTTCTTTTTTTTTTTGTCTTTTTCCGTTTTATCGGTACTGGGGATCGAACTCACTCATGACTGCCTGCCTGCTTGCAAGGCAGGCTCTTATGCCGCTGAGCTAAATCCCCAGCCCCCATTATAGTCCTTTTCTGACTTTTATGTGGCCCAAACTCTCTGCAGAGCCTGTTTATTTTCCTACTTTCAATAAATGTAAAACCTTGCTTTTTGAGCATGTTTCATACAATTCTTTGTTCAAAACTTGAAGAACCTAGCTGGGTGTGGTGGCACATACCTGTAACCCTAGCATTTGGGAAGCTGAGGCAAGAGGATCACTTTGAGTTTGAGGCCAGACTGAACTACAATGTGTGAGTTCAAGGCAGTCTGAACTACATAATGAAACTATCTCAAAAAAAAAAAAAAAAAGAAATTTTTGAGTGTAACACAGTTGAAGGCCCACAGCAATTCAATCTTCTGTAACAAAATTAATTTCAGTATTTATTTGGAGCCTGGAGTGGGGGGTGCACACCTGTAATCCCAGTACAGAAGATTGTGATCTTGAGGTAGACCTAGGTTGTAGTGTAAACTGAACTCCAGCCTGGACTGCAAAGCTGGACCATGTAGGAAGACCCTATCACACACAGACACAAAAAATTCAGATACAGCTTTTGTTTTTTCTCTTGAGTTATGTGATTAATGGTTAAGCTGATACAGATGTTAGATGGGACATGTTAAAAAAACATAATTATGGAATATCATCTTCAGTCCCTGTGACAGAATGTGAAAAAGTGGGATGTTATTGTTAACAGATTGAGTAAAGACTATCAAGTTACTTTGTGGAAAGCAATGAACACTTGGGATAAAAATCTGTTTTACAAATTACCAAGAAAAGAACTAATCACAGGAGCTGGGTATGGGGCTCATGCCTGTAATCCCAGCACTCGGGAGGCTGAGGCAGGAGGATTGTTGTGAGTTCAACACCAGCCTAGGCTGCAAAGTGAGCTCAAGGCCAGCCTGAACTGCATAGTGAGACCCTGTTTCAAAAAGACAAAAACAGGGGCCAGGGATTTAGCTCAGCGGCATAAGCACCTGCCTAGCAAGCATGAGGCTGTGAGTTCGATCCCTGGAACCAAAAATAAAACAACAAAAAAGACAGAAACAAAAACAAAAACAGAACTAATCTCAGGCTAAACAGATAGCATATTAAAATGTAATACTGGGACTAGGGGTATAGGTAAGTGGCAGAGTGCTTGCTTAGCTATGTGAAGAGGCTGGGATCAAACCTAATACAACCAAAAAATAAATACATAAATATGATGAAACATGTACAAGAGGTGAACCAAATGTATGGTGTGTATTTCAATGAAAAATGTATTCAGTAAAAGACACATTGCCATTAATTTCCTTTTAAATACTCCCTTGCTTCAAAAACACCCCATTGTTCTTGCTACTGTCTTTTGTCAGGTAGGCGCTGTGCTGCTGAGCTATACCTTCAGCCCCGTTCTTACTAGCAGTTCTGGAAGTGGTATCTGATGAGTCTCCATTTTAAAATTTTACCTGGTACATATTTGCAGTACCTATTATTACATTCATCATGGGGGACCACTGCCTATTGTTTTATATTTAAATGCCCCCTGTAAAGCCTCCTACAGTCACAGGTGGGACCTTTCATAGGTAGCGGATCTAGAGTGTGTGCTGTTGGGATTAAGATGTGTGATTGCTAAATTAGTCCACTGATTGGCATTGTTCTGGATAGGATTAAGACTGTCCCACTCTGGGTGCGTGCTACCTACCAAAGGGCAGGTAGCCTGGATGAAATATACGGGACAGAAAGAGTGTCATTGCTGCTTTCTGTCTACCAAGAACTGGTTCTTCTCTGCCATGCCACCCTGTCTCAGAGCTAGCCAACTGTAAACTGAAACTTGCACAAAGTTGGGCCAAATGAACATTTCCAGTTTTATCTTTGGATGTCGGGTATTTTGTTTCAGCAACAAGAAAAGTAACTAAGACAAAGTCTTTAAGAGGTTCAATTTAGAAAACATGATTAATCAAGGCCAACTTTGATTACATAGTAAATTCAAGGACAGTTTGAACTGTAGTGACACCTTGTCTCAAAAAAACAAACAACCCAAAAACCAAAAACCAAAACCAAACAAAGTGGCATGAAAGATGAGGCAATTGTGCCCTAAGTGAGGGAGTATTCTGAGTGGGATTAATGGCAATGTGTCTTTTGTTGTAGTGAATTTTTTTTTTTTTTTTTTTTTGTCTTTTTCGTTTTTAGCTGTACCAGGGATCGACTCACGACTCACGACTGCCTGCTTGCAAGGTGAAAGGGTTTTGGCCCAGACAGGACACTGTAGCCAGGAAAACCTCAACCGGAAGCAGGAAGCCCTATCTCCCCTGCCCCTAGGAAGTTACCTGTGATGTCATCTTCCCGCCCCTGGAAATTTACATATGGCGCCAAATGGGCTACCTGTGTATCCCTAATGCTCGCCTTAGGTTCCACCCCAAACCGAGGCTATTTAGAGGCCCCCACGCCATGTGTCCCCGGAGAGATCGCAGGATGCCTGCGGTGGGGGTGCCGGTCATCTCTCTCCGTGTTCTCAGAATAAAGGCCGCTTTTTATTTTATATTTCTCATCTTTTGTTAATATTTTTCATCTTTTGGAAATAACCCTAGCACAAGGCAGGCGCTTTATGCCGCTGAGCTGAATTCCCAGCCCCATTATAGTGAATTTTTTAAAAATTTAACATTTACCATACTTTTGATGGTGTATTATATTTGCCCTCCTATAAGACGTAATTCCCATACCTGTCATAGATTCTTAGAAATTCTCACAGTGGGCTAGCCATGGTGCACATCTATAATTCCAGCATTTGAAATTATAATCCCAGTAGGGTGAAAAAAAAATCAAGAAAAGGTAATCAAAGGATTAAGAATTGAAAAATGCTAAAGAATTTAGAAAAGTGTAGCCTTAGCCTGATGTGGCACAAATCTGTAATCCAGCACTCTAGGAGGCTGAAGCAGAAGGACTACAAATTCAAGCCCAATTTGGGCAATTTAACAAGATCTTGTCTCAAAATAAAACTCAAAAAAGTATCAATCACTGTAAGAATCTCCCCACACCCCGCTGGTCTTCTTGGGACAGGATCTGGATGGCCTTAAACTCATAGCAACTTTCCTGCCCCAGTCTCCCACACTGCTGGGATTACAGGCTGTGCCCTGCTTCTTTGTAAAACTTCATACTATAGAACACATGGCAGAAAACAGAAGATTTTATGGTCACTAGACATTATTGTCATTAGAGAATACTTTATTGGTTTCGGTAACTGAACTCACATAGATAAGACCTTACATAATTAATACAGTATGTTAACCCTGTACAAATGGAAAACATTTAACATTTTTTAGACCAGCATGGCTGTTAATTTCAGTACAGTGGCAATTCAACAGTTTACCAGGCCAGCTTTTTCCAAACTTGACAGCACCTTTTTCTTTTAAACAATATTCAGTTGAACTTTTTTTATTAAAGAGATCAACTTTCACTTTTTACACTTCAGTACTTGGTACTAATAAAAGCGAGTCAATATAATTATGATTAAAATTGTTGTCAAAAACATAAATAAATGCTTGATGTTAGTATGTCTGCATACAGTTCAGGTCGGGTTTTGGTGTAAAGTTTTGTCTCCAAGAAAAAACATGTGATTTACTTCAGTAATTGGAATATCCCTAAGTGCTGGGACGGAGTCTTCTTGGTAATCCTTCTGCAGCTGGTTTTTAGCGTAGCTATCCGTGATCGTGTGAGTGGAGCTGAGTGGAGAGGTACTCATCATGTTGATTGCAAACAGGAGCACGTAAGCGATGACCACGGCAATAAGTAAGTAGACTGGCAGTGCGACAGCCCAGTATTTTTGAGGCCAGTAGGTTAAGCCGAAGGAGCACAGCCAGGATTCTGGAAGGAAAGCCCACACAAGGTAAAGTATGAAGCCAAACTGCGAGCTCAGGAAAAGCACAAAGCCGTAAATCGCTCTTTCCGGCAATGGCGATGGTGACTTCTCCATCTTCCCTGTGGCTCTCGACCTCCTCGGGCCGTCCGTCCACGGCGAACTGAGAGCGAGACCCAGGCGCGACGAGGACCTCGGCCCGACGCTGGCACCCCGCGACCCTTGCGGGGAAGTGGGGAGCCCGCGAGCTTGGGGTCGGTGGGTAGGTTTTGCGGGCGGCCGGGAGGCCGGGATAAATTCTTGTCAAATTCTCTAAGTTTTATAGCCGTTTAACACAGACTGCAGCAGGCGCTTCTTAAGCCTTACCGAGCCGGTGCGCTTGTAAAGAGCCGGTCCTCCTCCTTTTCCTGCAGCCTGGCGGCGGAACTCCGCGACCATAGAGCTGGTGGACTGCCGGCGTAGAGCGGACCGGAAGTGGCTTCTTAGCCCCCCGCCCAGGGGCCAGCTTGGGTCTCGGCTGTCCGGGTTTAGTTCGAGCTGCTCGCTGTCAGAACCTTCCTTTGGGCCCTAGGGCTTAGTTCCCTCAGGGTGATTTCCCCCTGGTGCTGGGCATACGCGGTCGCGGCTTCTGGAAGGCGCTGTGTAATTTTCAATCTCCTAGCAACGGGGAACAGAGTCGCAGTGTGAGGAAGTGCGGCGCCAGCCTCGTAGCTGCAGCGCTGGCCGGAACCACCGGCCCGGCCCAAAAGGGAGCAGATACCCGGGGCTCAGAAGAGTAGCCGGAAATGGCGGACGAGGCGTTGTTTTTGCTTCTGCATAACGAGATGGTGTCGGGAGTATACAAATCCGCGGAGCAGGGGGAGGTGGTAAGTGCTGTCCCACGCCTTGAAGTCCTTTCTCAGCCCTGTCTCCTCCCCACCCAGCGCCTCGTGTGGTGTAGACCAAACTGGTTCACTTCTGTGTGTCCCAGGCTCTAGGAATCGTCGGCTGCCTTCTTTAATGCTTTGTCCGTCATCCTTTTCTCCTTCATCTCGTGTCTTATTGCATTTATTTGGTGAGTGGCTATACCTTTGTCGAGCAGGTCACAGATTTCTTTCAGCGTTGTGCTTAGTATGATTTACAGCACTGTTAATGGCAGATCCGAGTTTGACATCCTGTTTACTTTTGCTGGCGCTTTGGTCCACCGGACAGACCTGCGCCTGTTTGAGACTGCGCCCTCTTTGCCCAACCCTAATCCTCGGTACCACTGGATACAATTTGAAGACAGAGCCTAATGGGATTTGAAGGCAAAGTAAAATTTGCAGCTGTTAACGATAATTAGAAAAAATTTACATTAACTGAGGAACTATTTAGTGCTTATTATGTCAGCTGGTTTTAGGAACCGAGAATGTGAGAGTGAAACAAAGGCCTTATTCTATTGGAGTTACTTCTAATAAGTGAAAGTTCTTATTCATTCATTCACTGATTCTTGTTTTTGGTGCTGAGGATTGAAATCTTAAGCATGCCAATCAGGTGTTCTACCACTGAAATACATCCCTAGCCTTTACTCTTTTTTGGTACTAGGATTTGAACTCAGGACCTTCCTTGTTCTTGCCAGGCAAGCATTTTGCGGCCGAACTCTTATCTCTGGCCCCCTCGTTGATTTTTTTTTTTTCCCCTCGTTGATTCTTTTTTTTTTTTTTTTTTTTTTTAATTTAAATGGAAAAAGAGAAAAAAAAAACAGAACAAAACAGTGTAAGGGTACAAGTAATACAGAACTACAAAAAGAAAAAAAAAAACAGTAAGATATCACCAGTTAATAGATTACACACTATCATCTTTGAAACAGTGATTCAGGTCACAGGATCAAAGCATACAAAGTGAACATTCAAATAGTGAGACTACAAATAGTTGTGTTCAATGAGCCAATCAAAAATATTAATATGGTCATCTATTTAACACACCTAAACACACTTGCTGTTGTATCCTTTTGGGCACTTTTTTTTCCCTCTCTCTTTATACAACAAAGTTTACACATTTTGGGTTTTATTGCTCCCATAGATCTTATTACTTTTTTTTGTAAGAGAATAAAATCAAACATGATAAAACAAAGCTGTCAGTCAAAACCAAGGATAGACATAGCACATGATATAAAAAGAGTACAAGGTTATCAACAATGGTTACCATAATGCCTCTTGCTTCCTTAAGAAGAATTGTCCATCTCATTAGGTATTATAAAGTTGAACAAAACAGTAGAGAACAAGTCCAATAAAACCTAAACATTGTAAACCTTACAGAACTTCAAACCAGAATGGGCATCAAGTGAATCTTATTGCCTTCAAAGTAGTTTCCTATACTCTGATACTTAATACTATCATACAGAGCCTAATCAGTCTAATCAGTCAAAACAAGATAGTGAGAGTATTACAGGACTTCAAATCAAGTTAATAGGAAATCAAGAAGGTTACTATAATATATCCTGCTAGTTTTTTTGATTTTTTTTTCCCCTTAGTTTAAAAAAGAAAAAAATTAAATAATTTTTTTAATGAATAAGGGAGAGGTTGAGATAAAAGAGGGCATAACAACATAACAATCCCTCGTTGATTCTTACAGGAAACTTTTATCATGTATTCTTTAACCAGGGCACACCTAAAACCCAGCACTGGGTGCGACTGAGACAAGAGGATCACAAGTTTGGCAATTTAACCAGACCAATGTCTAAAAATAAAAAGCACTGGGAATGTAGCTCTATGCAAAGGCCCTGGGTTCAATCCCAAGTGCAGGGGTGTGGATGCTTTGTAGGCTTGACATTATCCTTGATAAATGAGATGAAACCCTTGCCTCAGTCTTTGGAGAATCTGCAATTAATGAGTAGTTAGTACTGCTGGGTAATTAGGTATAAGATATCACGGAGTTGTAATGGAATGTAGTTGTAGTAATATGCGATATTCCACAGTCATGTGCCAAGTCAAGAGCCCTTTAATGCTATTAATGAAGTTGAGTGGAGAGAGAGGTAGAAAGAGCATCATAGGTAAAAGGTTTGAAAGAGCAGTAGATTGAAGTATGAAGTTCTCACTGAGGCTAGACCGGATGGTGACAGATAAGAAGACAAATGAAAGCTGAAGTCAGAGCCTTGTATGATTGAAAATTTTAACCTTCTCAGTGGAGGATTTAGGGGGTGATGGGTTCCTATGGGTGTTAGGAAGATAATCCAGTGACAGAGTGGATTGGAAGATCCTTGTTAGTGAGAAGACCTGCAGGAGTCACAGCAGGAGGTAATAAAGATCTGAAGACAGGGATAGTGAGAAGAAAGAACAGGTTTGGGGGTTGGAGGTAATATCTGTTGGCAAATCTATTAAGTATGAGAATGAGAGTCAAAAATTATTCTCAGATTTTTTAACTGGAGGAGCTGGGTGAGGTGGTAGTGTTGTTACTCAGAAAACAGAATAAGAGAATAAGACTAAGAGAAAACAGATAAGGTGGTGAAAATAATGAATTATTTGGGGTCAGTTTTAATTTTTGAGGCGTTTGTATGACATCTTAAGAACATATGCTGCCAGATTTTGAAGTACCAGAAGGATGACAAAATTCTTTGGATTCTCCTGGAGAAACCTGAGGCTTTATTTTTTCTTTTTCATTGAAAATCCCCCTAACCTTAATTTTTTTTTGAGACCGAGTTTCTCTATAAAGTTTAGGCTTGTTTCAGCCTCACTGTGTAGGCCAGACTGATCTCAAATGCATGATGATCCTCCCATGTCAGTCTCCCAAGTGTGAGTGTGTGGATCACAGGTGTGTGCTACCACATCCAGCTGGGTATGTTACTTTTTTTTTGAGACAGGATCTAGCTATGTAGTTTAGGCTGGTCTTGAGTTCACTATATAGCCCAGGCTGTCTTAGAACTCACAAGTGATTTTCCTGCCTCAGTTTCCTAAATGCTGGAATTACAGGTGTGTGCCACCATACTTGACTGTATGATACCTTTAAATATATTATTTTGAAGACACATGAGGAATAACCATTGGAAATGAAGTAATTTTTTTTGTGTGTGTGGTATTGGAGATAAACCCAGAGGCCTTATACCACTGGGCTACATACTCAGCTCTTTTTCTTTTTAAGGCTAGGTTTCTCTTAAGCTGCCCAGATGGGACTTGAACTTGTCACCCACCTGCCACAGCTTTCTTCCCTTAGTGCTAAGATTGTAGCAGTGTGCCACTACATCTTGCTGCAAGTTGTATTCATATTGAGACCTAGCTCTAATACTTTGGGAGAGGGTACTGGAAATCGAACTCGGGACCATGTACTTGCTAGGCAGGTACTGTACCATAGAGCTATATACCTGGCTCTTAGATATTTTATAAGTTACAATTTTTATTACTATCTTTATCGTCACCATCATCATCATCATCATCAATGCTATCTGTTTGTGCAAAGCTAGCCCGATGTTTCTTATTCTTCTCAAAGAACAGTTAGCAGCATAGTCCTTTTACTTATCATAAAATTATACTCCCTGTCTTCTCCTCTCCTTGCTTTCCCTTTTCCAAGTCTTACCCATCTACCTTTTTTTTTACGTAAAGTATATACTTCAACATTCCAATAACAAGCTATATTTATGTATTATATAAATATATGAAGTCAATATAAAATAAAAAAATGCCTGAACTAAAAGAATCACTCTATATGGAGTTATTTTACTATTGAAGACCTTAAATTTTTGTTTACAAAAATTTATATGAATTATTTTCTTCTCAATTAGATGGATTTTCAATCCACACAATCCTGATGACTTTACAAATTGCCCTTTTTCTTACAACCTTGTCTTTTTTTCCAGTAGGTTAATCCAAAGTAAAAAAGTTCTCTTGGCTGATGATTGTAAGAGATGTGCTTCCCATAAGCTTTTTTTTTTTTGTACCAGGAATTAAACTCAGGACCTCACACTTGCCAGGCAGGCACTGTGCCACTGAGCTACATTTCTGGCCTTCTCATAAGTTTTGAAATGGGATTAAAAATAATTTTTCATTCCTATTGCAATATGTTTGTGTTGGAGAAAAATTGAAAATGCATATAGCAAAAATGGTTTTAGGAATCAGGTATATGGCAGTTTTGATAAATCAGAATCCATATTGGAATCTAGATGTATGAAAGAGTCATTGTATTAATATCTTTACTTTCAATGCATTTAAAATTTTCATAATAAAAAATTTTAAAAATCCAGAAATGATTTTTATAAATCTTTTCAGACTAAAATTATTTCTGGGTAATAGGATATGTGTCTTTTCCATTTTTTATTATGAAAAGAGTAAGGGAAATAAGACTTTCATAATCTTATTAGTAAGATTACATAGTAAGTTTACTTTTGACTTTCAAAAGTAAACTTTTATAAGTTGTGGCATTAAAGAATCAGTGTTTCGGGGCTGGAGGTTTAGCTCAGCGGCATAAGCACCTGCCTTGCAAGCAGGCGGTCGTGAGTTTGATCCCCGGTACCACTAAAAATGAAAAAGACCAAAAAAAAAAAAAATTAAAAAAAAAATCAGTGTTTCTGTTTTGCTTTGTTATTTATTTATTTTTGCTTTGTAATTTTTTTGAGACAAGGGCTTACAATGCAGTCAGCTCATGTTGGCCTTGAACTTACTATGTAGCCCATGCTAGTCTCCAACTTGCTTTAATTCTCTTGCCTCAGCCTCCTGAGTGTTGGGATTACAGGCATGCACTACAATGCTTGGCATAAAGAATCAGTGTTCTTATCCTTTCAAATCACTGATTTTCAAAATATGCTTGAAGAGGAATTAAACCTCTAAAAATTGAATAATTGTACATTTCCCAATCTGTGGAGAATGGGTTTAAAAGCAGTTAATGAAAGCCTAAGTTTGAGCCCACCCTGGGCAACTCAATGATTTAGCAAGAAGACCTTTTTCAAAATTAAAAATAAAGAACTGGGAAGACAGATCACTGTGAAGACCCTGGGATCAATTCCCAGTACCACACACATATGTATGGTGAGCTTTAGTAGTTGATGGTGGGTTTGAGAATACTTTCTAAAACCTGTACACACTAGGCAAGTTCTTTTTTTGGTCTTTTTCGTTTTTATCAGTACCAGGGATCGAACTCACGACTGCCTGCTTGCAAGGCAGGCGCTTATGCTGCTAAGCTAAATCCCCAGCCCCCACTACACAAGCTCTTTACCACTAAGCTATTCCCCAGCCCTCACCTTAACTTCTCACAAAGAAAATTAAATCTCAGCACAGGCACCCTTGGGTACCCAAAAGTCATATCCAAACCATAGCACTTTCACTTCACCAATGGATCCAATAAACTTCAAAATGGAAAGGGTAAAATTTTAATAACAGACTTAACAACAACATAAAAACATTAAACTTATGAACTACTGCTTTAGGTGTACTTAACAGAATCATTTCACCTCAGTATTTCTTGCCAAAAGAAGCAAATCAGAAATGTACTTTAGATAAAATGAAACTTTAGCAATAAATACACATTTTCGTAATTTTTTTTCACATTGTCAAATTTTTGCAACATATGACATTATGTTGAGTTTCCCATTTACTTGTATTTTTTTGTAGTGTGTTGGTTACTTTTTTTGTCCTTGCTGGGACAGACTACCTGACATCCAAAATTAAGGAAGGAAAAGTTTATTTAGCTCATAATTTGTGACAGTTTCAGTCCACAATCGGCTGACTCCAAGGCAGGGTGTCACATGGCAAAGGAACAACCATTTATGGTGGTGGAAAACAGCAAAATGGAGAGCCAAAAAGGGAGGAGTATGGAGAGAAGACTCTTTCTGTCCCTTATATCAGGCACTCACACCCATAATTCCAGCATTGGGCCATGAGTCACAAATTTTAGAAGACTGTTCCCATGACTGATTGAGGCTTTGTGGAGACATCTGACTCAAACCATAATATTCCACCCCATTGCCCCCCAAAGACTCATGCACATCCTTAATGCAAACGACCATTAGTGCATCTCCAAGAGTTGTCAAAGTCCCAGCAGTTTCAGCATTGCTGAAAAGTCCAAGTCCAAAGTTTCCTCTGAGATTTAAGGCAAACTTTTAGCTGTGAGCCCCTGTACAAATGAAAGTTAAACATTCCAGCATTCAGCAGCACAAGATGAACATTTCCATTTTGAAAGTTAGAAATGGGAATACAAAGGAATGGGACCAAAACAAGTCCAAAACTTAGCAGGGCAAGCTTTAGATCCTTTACATCCAAAGCAATCTGTGGCAGAGTTAGATCCTGGAACATCCAAAGCAATCTGGCAGGTTATGAACTCCAAATGGTTTGCATGGCTGCTTACAGTGCTTCTGGTGGTTGTAGCTTCATGGCCTTTCTCTTGGACCTGCTTTGTTCCCTTCTTGCAGGTTTCCTGAGATGATCCACACTCCTGGCCTCTCCAGACTTCTGGGGTCTTCACTGCACCTTTGGCTACACCCTCACAGCTTCACACACTGCTCTCTTAGGAACACACAGCCTGGTCTCCCAGGCCTTCTTCTGAAATCTAGGTAGAAGCCTTTTTAACCTCAGAACTCTTGCATTCTGCATGCACCTAAAACTAGTGCCACGTGGATGATGCCAAGGTCTGCTGCCAGCTGGAGCACTAGCCAGGCTTTCTTCTCTTTCTGTAGGGATTGAGTGCCTGAATCACTGGACTCTCAGAATCAAATTCTGAGGAACAAATTCTTTAGGCTGCCACCATTGTAGAACCTGGTTTTGGCCCCTGCCATCCTTCTGGATCATAGTGTTCAAAGTCTTTCACAGTTTTGAGACTGCTAAGACTGGATCCTTTTTGGTTCTGTGATGCCTGCAGGCCATCTTTTATAGTCTGTTCCTTGTCAGCAATTAAGATCTCAGCTCTGTCTTTACAGTCCACAGCTTTACTGGAGCTTCCTTTCTGGCCAAACTTACATTTTAAATCATCCTGCTGGGTTCTTTGCTTTTGATTCACAATATAAACCTGTAGCTGTGTCCTCACAGCTAAAGTCCTCAACAGTAGCCATGCCACTGCCTCAACATTTAACTGCCTTGAAATTTCTTCTGCCAGATTAATTAGCCCATAGCCCTTAATCTTAGTCTCAGGCAAAAGTCTCTGAACATGAGCAAAATGCAGACAAACTTTCTGCCAAGCCATAACATATATTGTCTGGACTCCAGCAGCCAGTGCAGTCCTTCTTCCCAGCAGAAACCTGAACTTGGACTTTACTGGTTTTCTGGTCTTCTGAGCTCTAACCCGAATCTCACATACAGAGCAGTCTAAGGTGTTCCAGTGCTACTTTTTCAGGCAACATCTCTGAACCTTTCCAAACTCTTCTACAAGCATTCCCAAAGGCTCTGGAACCACATGGTCACAGGAATGATCCCACTTCTCTGATAGTGAATTCTGTCTTGGTTACTTTTCTCTTGTAGTTGAGACAAAATACCTGATGCCCAAAATGAAGGAAGGAGGTTTCAGTCCATAATTAACTGGCTTCAAGTCAGGGTCGTGTGGCAGAGGAGCAACTGTTCATGGTGGTGGAAAACAGCAAAAACAAGAGCCAAAAAGGGAGGAGCACTGCAGACTCTTCCTGTGCCTTATATTGTATTACACTGTCCACTCTAGGGTGGGGGTAGCACTCATAATCTCTGCATTGGCTCATGAATCAATACAATTCTAGATGCCTGCTCCTATGACTAAATGAGGCTTTTGGGGGACATCTGGACACAAACCATAATGTGTAGTATTCACTTTAGTGGGAGTTTTCAAGTATTTTGAGTTTATTTATTTTTGGTTTTTCAGATAAGGGTCTCCCTAATATAGTTCAGGCTGGTCTTGAATTTGCCTCAGCCTCCCAAGTGCTGGGATTATAGGTGTGGGCCACTAAATCCAACTGATTATATTTATTAAAGAGGAAAACTCTGTTATGTTTCTCAGATTAGTAGAATTTCCATCCACAGTGTATTGTCATGTTTTTAGCCAAAATTTTTGAATACTAACATTCTTGCATTCTAAAAGTATTCAAAGTTTTTATTTTTATTTTTTATTTTTAATAGGAAAATGGGCGGTGTATAACTAAGCTGGAAAACATGGGGTTTCGAGTGGGACAAGGATTGATAGAAAGGTGAGCAGAATGGATTTGAAAATTTTCTTCCAGGTAGGTTATAAATAAAAATGATCTGTTTCAAAAGATTTCATAAAACTTGAGATTTTTAATTCCCAAGTTTTAGTTCTTGTTCTTTAATTACGGATTGAAATTTCTCTTTGTAGATCTGGGGGTGCCGCACAGCCATTCAATTTATGCTTAGTACATACAAGACCCTGGGTTCTATTCTCAGCACCAAATTATAAAAGAGAGATTTCTTTTTAAGTCTGATGCAAGTTTAGTTTAATCATTGCTCAAATTCTGTGTTTTAACATTTGAAGAAAACATTTTATACAATTAAGGTTTCTTTTTTTTTTTCTGAAAACATTGGTCTACTGAAACAACTATTTAAAATCTCCTTACATTTTCTACTTTCACAGGGTCTCTCTGTAATTCAGGCTGGTCTTGAACTCACTGTGTACCCTCAAACTCATGGCAGTCCTCCTGCCTCAGCCTCCCGACTGCTGGGGTTACAGATGTACACCATCATGCCTGGCTTAGATTTTCTACCTAAAATCTAGTACAGTGATAGCAAACCTTTTAGAGCTTTTAATGATACAAGTAGCCTGCTTGGCGTGCATGCCATAGCTTTGCCACCACTCAGCTAGTAGGTTAACCTGAATGGAATTTTGTTTAGAGTCAAAGGAAACTGGTCATGATGGCACATGCCTGTGATCCAAGCACTCAAAAGGCTGAAGCAGGAGGATCACCATGTTTGAAGCCAGCCTGAACTGCAGAGTGAGACCATGTCTCAAAAAACCAAAAGGCAAACAGACAAAAGTCATGGAATAAAAAATACCTTAAAGTCTATGTTTATGCATGTAATCATTTTCCATTTATAGATCAGTTTTTCATTTTTCATATAATGTGTATGTTACTAGGGCTTGAACACAAGGCCTTTTCACTGAATATATCCCCAGCTCTTTTTGTTTTTAATCAAAAAAAATTTTTTTTTGTTTTGTTTTTTGAGATAGGGTCTTGCCATATAGTTTAGGCTATAAGTTAGGCTCTTGCCATATAGTTTAGGCTATAAGTTAGGCTTGAAGTTACTAGGTAGCCCACTCTGGCCTTAAACTGGTGATTTTCTTGCCTCAGCCTCTTGAGTGATTACAGGGGTGTACTACCATGCCTGGCTTTGTCTTTTGAGATGGGGCCTCCATAAGCGATTAAATTGCCCTGGCAGTGCCCTAGCCTGCTAGAGTGCTGAGATCACAGATGTATGATGCTCCACTTGGTTTTTATTTTTAAAATTTGTAGGACTGGTGATTGAACTCAAGACCTCATGCATGCTAGGCAAACATTGTACCACTGGTCTACATTATTTTTGAGTCAAGGTCTCATTAAATTGCCCATGAAGCCCTGAGTTTGCAATCTTCCTGCCTCAGACAGCTGAGTAGCTGTGATTATTGTGCACAGCTGTGGATCAATTTTTTTAAAAAAATGTTTTATGAATATCTGGCCAGGCAGGTGTGGTGCTGCACACCTGTAATCAGTCTCAGCACTCAGAGGCTGAGGCAGGAGGATCACCAAAAGTTCAAGGCCAGCCTGGGCTGCATCGGGAGTTCAAGCCAGCCTGATTACACAGCGAGACCCTGTCTCAGAAGAACAACAAACAAACAAAGCTGAATAGTTCATTCCTGGTTGTATTTTATATAACAGTACTATGATCATGCTTAGCTCTTTTTTTTTTTTTTTTTTTTTTTGTCTTTTTCATTTTTATCGGTACCAGGGATCGAACTCACGACCGCCTGCTTGCAAGGCAGGTGCTTATGCCGCTGAGCTAAATCCCCAGCCCCTAGCTCTTTTTAAGTACTAGATTTGTGTGTACCTGAATTATTTGCCATATTGTTAACTAGTTAATAACTAGTAAACTCTTAGGTCTCACATAAGAGAAGCAGTGTTAAATTGGGATCTGCTTTGCTTGGTGCTTATTTTATGACTAAATAAACATCCAGTGTGGTTGTGGCATTTGGAAATTACTTAACAGCCTAAGTGTCTTGGAGAGAATGAGAAAAAATATTTGCCTCTTTTGCTTTCTTTGAAAAAAAAATTGTATTACTTCCAGTTGATCTTTTTAGGTTTACAAAAGATACTGCAAGGTTCAAGGATGAGTTAGACATCATGAAGTTCATTTGTAAAGATTTTTGGACCACAGTATTCAAGAAACAAATCGACAATCTAAGGACAAATCATCAGGTATTTAGATAATTATGGCCTTTTTTTTTTAGTCTTTTATCATAATATAAATGTTCTAGTTTAGTAGTTTACTCATTTAAAACAAAGTAATTTCTGATTAATCTTAGATGTATCACTGATATTATTAATAAGACATTAGTTTTTACTCTCTTAGGTTAAAGTGAATTAAGGCAAATTGGCAGTTATCAGTAACTACAGGTGTTTCCTTTTTTGTTTTTTGGTACTGGGGATTGAACCAGGTGCTTATGCCACTGAGGTAAATCCCTAGTCCCTAGGTGTTTCCTTCATTTACACATTATATAAAATTTTAAGTGTAGCAAATGTCAGAATTATTGATTTAAGGCTTTAGTTCCTTATTACTAAATGGTGATGAAATGCAGAACCAGAGATAGGTCACATGTTTTTTTCTTTGGAATAGCTTTTTCATGAATAGAACTTATGGCCTCCTGCTTGCCAGGTAGCTGCTGTGGCACTGAGCTATATCCCGGACCCTAGAATAACTTCTAAAGTCTAATTTTTTGGATGTTTTTTTGAGACAAGGTATTACTATGTTGGCCAGGCTGTCTTTGAACTGGTGGTGATCTCCTATCCAGCCTCCTTGAACGCTGGGATTATAGTGTTTTGCTACCATGCCTGGTTGCAGAAGTCTAGTTTAAGATCATATTTAACTCTTTTTTTTTTTCTTTTTTTTTGAGGCAGGATGTCACTATGTAGTTCAGACTGGCTTCAAATTTGCTGTGTAATCCAGGCTGGCCTTGACCTTGTGATCTTCCTGCCTCATCCTCCCAAGTGCTGGATTACAGGCGTGTACCACCGTGTACAGCTCACATTTACCTCTGAAATCTTTTTTTCTTTATTTTTAAAATTTTGTTTTGCAGTACTCGAGATTGAAGTGAAGGCCTTGGCAGTGAACTACGACCCTGGCCCATTGTTTATTTATTCATTTTGAAACCCCATTTTCCTGAGTTACTAAGTTGCCCAGGCTGGCTTCAGATTTGTAGCTGTCTTGCATCAGTCTTCCAGAGTTTTGGGATTCTGGGGTTGTGCTTCTGTGATCAGCTCAGATAACTCTTGTGTTATTACTGCTGTCATTTCTATCCTTAACAATTTTTTTACTACAAAATTAGTAGGTAAAAAATTAGTAAATTACCTACAAAACTATGTATTTGAACAGACTGATTTTCTTTTATAGATCTATAGGACTACTTTTAAATAGATTTTTTTGTTCTTTTTGGTACTAGAAATCGAACTCAGAACCTTGCGCTTGCCAAGCAGGTGCTGTGCCACTGAGCTATATCCCCATCCCTTTTTGAGTAGATTTGGCATTTTGAGTAAGTTTTAAAAATGATAATAATGTATCTAATACTATGAGTAGAATTCACTTTTTCATATAATGCTGACCTTAACTGTAATTATTTGAAATCTGACTGACTTTTTAGACCTATTCTAATAATAAATAACAATTTCATGTGAATATATACTAGTACCTTTTTTTTTTTTGGTACTGCAGGTTCACCCCAGGGCTTTCACACTGGGTTACATGCCTACTTAACCCACACATGATTTTTTTGAGACAGAGTCTCACCAAGCTAAATTGCCCAGGCCTGGCTTGAACTTGTGATTCTCTTGCCTTAGCCTCCTGAGTGCTGGGATTACAACTGTGTGCCCCCATGCCTGGTTTTTTATGTATGTATGTATGTATTTATTTATTTTCAATGTACTGATGATTGAACCCAGTACCTCACACATGCCTAGGCAAGAGCTGTACCACTTGGCCACACCCCCATCTTAATTCTGAGTTCTTTAATATAGACTATGCCTTATGCATCTTTGTATCTTCATTGCATACTTATATGTAGGAGGTGTTAGTGCTATGGAATACTGAACTCATAACTTTTTGTGTGTGTGTGTGGTTTGCAGTGTCTCAGCATGTAGTTCAGTCTGGCTTTGAACTCACTGTGTAGGATAGCCTGGGCTCAACTTGAGGTGGTCCTTCTGCCTCAGCCTCTCAGAATGCAGGGATTATACACATGTGCAGTTGAACTCACAGCTCTAAAGACTGAACACTGCAAAATTCTTTCACTTAAAGAAAAATTGAGCTGGGTGTGGTGGCACATGCTTGTAATCCCAGCACTTGGAGTCTGAGGCCAGTCTGAATTATAGAATGAGACCTGCCTTAAAAAGGAAAAAAAAAGAAAAATTGACCAAGGAAATGGAGACCGTTAATTACTTTATAATGCTCTTAAATTGTTTTATAGGAATAAAATAACTTTTAAGGAGGGCAGACTACACTGACTTGGGTGTTTTGTGTATTTTTGAAATAGGGCATCTATGTACTTCAGGACAACAAATTTCGTCTGCTTACTCAGATGTCTGCAGGAAAACAGTATTTAGAACATGCATCTAAGGTATTTAATATAATAGATTTGAATTTTCTACTAAAAAATGAATAGAATTACAGAGATAATTTCAGTGCCAATCACAATAGACTCAAAAATAGTAGTTTTAAAGTTGTATTTTTTTGTATAGCTGTTTTCTGTGAAATAGGAAACATGTTCATGGTGAGTTATATATATTAAACTGTAATGAAGGCCCACAGTAACTAGAGAAACACTACTACTAAATGCCAATGAATGCAGAGATTTATAGTATTCTTTAATATAGTATAGATATATCAGTAAAGATACTTAAAAACTGGTATTTCCTGTGCACAGTTACTAATTTCTGGGTTTGCAATGTCTTTTAGTAGATTAAAACATTTAACGTGTAATTTAACATTTGATTCTAGGAATATGTGTTTCATGCTAAGTATATATCTGTGTTTCTGGGTTTTGTATAGTTTTTGTTTTTAGTTTTGTAGAGATTCATGAGTAAATAGATGTCTTAACAAATTTTAACATAAGAATTTTTTGAAGTGATCAAAATATTAATGGTAGTATAAGTTGTTCCTTAGCCGTAAAATATTCTTCCTATCTAAATTACAGAGCCAAAAGGCAGCATTGGGCAGAGATTTTTATCTGTAAACCCAGCAATTTGGGAGGCTGTAGAAGGAGAATTGCTAGTTTAAGGTCAGTCTGAGGAACTTGGTGCGACTGTCTCAAAACAAAGACAAAATCTAATGAAAAGCAATGTAGTTACAGTGTAATTATGGTCATGGGAGTAAATAAATTTAGGTCTTAAGTTTAAGCTCTACAATTTAGAGATTTGTGATTGTTATATATAACTCTCTTTTTTATATAACTCTATTTTTCGTATTTAATAACATGAGTATGAGCACAGTTATATGATTGTCTTGAGAGTTACATTTTAATGTGCATGCCTATAATCCCAGCACTTGGGAGGTTGAGGTAGGAGGATCACTGCAAGTTCAAAGCCAACCCGGGGTACAAAGTGAGCTCAAGGCCAACCTGAACTGCATAGGAAGACCCTATCTCAAAAAGACAAAATGAAGCAAACGAAGTACTTAACATGCTGGACAGTTGTATTTGCGGCTGTTTGTGAGACTGAGGCAAGAGATTCACAAGTTCAAGGCCAGCCTGCACAGTTTATTAAGATGTCCTTGCCTCAGAATTTTAGGTCCCTCCACCCTAAAAGAAAAACAGCAACAACAAAAAAACAGGGATGGGGGTGCAGTTCAACACTCCCTGGTTCAATCCCCAGTACTGAAAATAAGTAGGGGGCTGGGGATTTAGCTGAGCGGCATAAGCACCTGCCTTGCAGGCAGGCAGTTGTGAGTTTGATCCCTGGTACCGATAAAAACGAAAAAGACAAAAAAAAAAAAAAAAAAAGTAAACTGCTGGGGATTTAGCTCAGCGAGCGGCATAAGCACCTGCCTGGCAAGTGTGAGGTCATGAGTACGATCCCCGGTATAAAAAAAAGAAAAAAGAAGTAAACCACAGGTACAGCAGGCTGCACAGTGCTGCACAGCTCAGCAACTTGGGGCGAGTGAGGCAGGGTGCTGCTTGATCTCAGGAGTCAGGCTGGGCTGGTCGCTACAGCAGATCTCATCTCAAAGAAATGAACAGAGTTAACATGGTGCTTTGTTCACAGGAGGGGGGCAAGAGGTGGGCATCATACTTTCCATAATTTTATTTCACTGATTCATGATTGCTTATGTCTGTATTATAGAGATATCTAGGCTGTTATATTTTTATGGTTTTTTTAGACGAATATCTCATTTGTTTTTAAAAATTTTATTGGTACACTTTTGTAGTACAAAATCGTTACATTCATTGTGAGTTTTTCCTGTTTTTCGAGAAGAGTCTCATTGTGTGTTGTGCAGGGTGCTTGGAGCTCACAGTCTGGCCTTGGCCTCCCAAGGGTTGGGGTTTGCAGCACTGCACCCTAACACTGGCTGCTGTTGATATTTTTGTGTTGCAGCAGCTGTAAGTGTTGAACAAGTAGGGGTTCTTGGTGGTAGAAAGTGCAGACACAGTTGATTCTGGCTCAGAAAACAGGAAAAAACCACAGGAAGTGAAAGCATCCAGGAAGCACCCAAACTGCTGTTACAGGGTGGGGTGGGGGGCAGGGGTCCAGTTAGAATCCTATAGGCAGCATAGTCAGTAGACACAAGCTACCTTTCCTGTCTCCAGAATGAAATCTACCTTTGTCCTAGTGTGTATGATACTCACTGCATTGGAGTGCCCAATTGGCCAGACTTCAGTCACTGTACTTTGGGGCCAAGAAGAGCAGTTCTTCACAGTCGTCATCTCCCCACCTTTTCCCTCCTCACACCTGTCCTTTTTGTTTGCTTGGTTTTTTTGAGATCTAGCTACATTGCTCAGTCTGTCCTCCACCTCCTTGGCTCAGGTGATCTGCCTCACCCTCCAGGCATGTGTGTATTACCACTAGAACTTTCTGGCTTTTCAACAGCGGTGACTTATTAATACCATGGTTTAACTAAAATGATGTATCTATTTGATAGTTTTACTATTTTTTAATCAGTTTTTTCTTTTTAGTATCTAGCATTTACATGTGGCTTAATCAGAGGTGGCTTATCCAATTTGGGAATAAAAAGTATTGTAACTGCCGAAGTGTCTTCAATGCCTGCTTGTAAGTTGAATTCACATTTACAACAAATATTTTTGTTGATATTTTTCATGTGTGGATTTTTAAAAGGTTTTTTAAGACATAGAGGACATTACAAATACTGAAACTTTTTCATTTTAGTGTTATCAGTTCAACATTTAGTGAACACTATGTAGCATGCAACAGTATATGCAGGAATTTTTGATTCAGAGTGATTTAAACCAGATGTGGTGGTGCACACCTGTAATTCCAGTGCTTGGGAAGCTGAGACAGGAGGATCACTGCCAGTTCAACGGCAGTCTGGGCTACATAATGAGTTCAAGGCCAGCTTGAATTACATAGCAAGACCCTGTCTAAAAAAACCCTAAAACAAACAAAAAGAATGATGTAAGAAAATCCACTAAAGAAATCCAAATTTGTAAGACAATTTAAGGGAATTTTAACTTTTAAGGGAAAATTTACTGTCATTTTTTTGTTTTTGGATTTCTTTTTGAAGCACTAGGAGCCAAACCCAGGACTTCACACTAGCAAAGGCTGTATAGCCGAGCCATACCCCTGCTTATATTAAAGTCATCCTTTAATATAACAGCTTTCTGTATAGTATTGAAATCTTCTGTTGTTGAGCAGTTGTTTAGAATATATGCATTATGATGCTAAATAAAGCCAACTAGTTTTTCTTGTTGTTATTAAACTCTTTCCCAAAGATCCCCTTACCAAGTACAAATAAGATTTACTTGAGCTTCAGTGATTATTAACAATGAAACACCCAGAAGGTAGGAATCACTAAAACAAAGGTACCTGTATACAAATCAGAAAATCATCTAATGAAAATGGAGTTGACAATTTCATATTGTAAGGAGTGTGAAAAGATGTCTGACTTGACAAGTTTAATTGAAATAACTTACTAAGTAGAACCAAAAAAAATGATATATAGGCTTTTGTTGTACCTAAAATATAAAATGATTTTTGTTTTCTTTTTTAGGCAAATTTCAGGTGATGATACAGAAACTATAAGCATACCGAAATGCAAGACTTCCACAGTGTAAAAACATAAGTTATTCATGTGTAAATCATTTCAAGTAACAGTGATTTAATTACATTGTTGGATATTTGTACAGCAGTAAGATTGTATTTTATCAATTTAATGTAGACCAATTTAAAGTAGATAAAGGGTCATTCTACCATGGGATAAACTTTAATGAAACTATTCAAAATGGACACTTGATTTCAAATAACTGGACACCAAAATCGATTTTAAATATTTTTTATTAGAGTGGTAACCACAGATGGAACTTGGGGTTTGTTGAAGTGGCATAAAGAAGAATATGCACCAGTCAGGATCATTTGTGTTAAGAGTGACTGACATTAGATAAAGTGTGAATTTATTTTAGTTATTTTAAAAAAGTAAACAGCAGTCTAAATTAAGTTTAACTTTCATTGCTTATAATTTATTTTTATGACTTTGTAAGGATTTTATGTATACATTGTATGTATATGTGTGCATATATATGTAAATAGAAAATGGGGCCGGGGATGTAACTCAGTGGCACAAGTGTGTGCCTGGCAAGTACAAGATCCTGAGTTTGATTTCTGGTACAAAAAACCCAAAAAACAAAAATGACATTAAATTGCTTGAAAATGTAATTTCATTTTAATACATTTTAGTCTGGAGAGTGCCATCCATGCAATAAAAGTGAAATATATTAATTTAAATGTCAATTCAGTGATTCGAGAGCCAAAGCCTATTAGGTATGTTGGGAGGAATTTTTAAATTTATTTTTAATTTATGTTTTGGTATTGGGGATTGAATCCAGCACCTTTGCAGTGAACTACATCCCCAGCCCCTTTTTATTTTTGTTTTGAGACAGAGTTCTGCTAAGTTTCTAGATTGATTACCCAGGGATGGCCTCAAAGTTGTGATCTTCCACCTTCAGCCTCCAGGTCTGGGATTACAGGAGTGCACAGCACACCATGCTTGACTTGTTACTTACCTATGACTTTCAGCTTCTCCCCATGCATGAAGTCCTAGTGAAGGTTCTAAGATTCTCTTATTTACTCTTCCACAAAGGTAGAGGGTAGATAATTAGATGAGTATTCCTAGACTCATATCTTTTGTGGGTGGGTTCAGTGTTCAGCTGGTGTCTGTCTTAGCACCTCTTCCATTACTTGCTTTAGTTATTTGATGTGAGAAGGTATCTCTTAAGATTTTGTGAGAACTCAGCATTTTAGGGTATCTGTTCTTTGACTTTTTTTTTTTTTTTTTTTTTGTCTTTTTCTTTTTTATCGGTACCGGGGATCGAACTCATGACTGCCTGCTTGCAAGGCAGGCGCTTACGCCGCTGAGCTAAATCCCCAGCCCCTTGTTCTTTGACTATTGAAACTGTACTGTCTCATTCAGTGATAACCCTTGGGTATATATTTATCTGACAGCACTGTAGAAGTGGATAACTGAAACCAAAAAAAAACTGGATGAAGATGGCAGATTAAAGAATGGCTATTCATAATAAAATGAACCGAAACTACGGTTGATGCAGTGTCGGCTGGTCTTGAACTCACAGCTGTCCTCCTGTGTCAGCCTCATGAGTGTACCACCACTCCTGGTTTGCAAAACATTTTATTGAAAACATGAAGTAAAAAGTGTAAAAAAAAATTTCTAGAGCTGGGTGTGCTGCCACACACCTGTAACCCAGTACTCAGGGGACTGAGGCAGGAGGTTCACCATGAGTTCAAGGCCAGCGTGAACCACATAGTGAGACCTTGTCTCAAAACAAAACAAAACAACACAACACAGTAAACTTTAGGACATAAGACAAAATCAAATTCTATTGAGTTAGAGGTACAGTGAATCCCTAATTTGCAAACAAGTTCTGTCTGGGAGAATTAAGTCGCAAATGAGTTGTGTATACCTTTGACATATATATGCAGGGTAAAGCATAAGAAAATACGCACACACAAATACGGTAATCTGTGTTTACTTTTACAGTGTGGTAGGGTATACTCGGCACGTAGGGGATTGCGTGCAGTGTACTGGCGAGAGTTACTGAGGGGTGGGTAAGGTAGCATCTTCTATGATGATAAGAGGGTTACTGCTCAGATGACATTTTCTCAGCATTGTAGACAAAACAGTCTGTCAAACCTTTGGTAGAACAGCAGATGGGAGTGAAATTCCCTCTTGCCCACATCTCGTGTCCTGATGACCCTTCATCTCCACCATCTCCGTCCTCAACTCCCTCTTCCAGTAATAACTTTTTTTATTTCATTCTTTTATTTAGCGAGACCTCTCGCTGTCCTCCAGTAGTAGCTATTGCACTGTGCAGAATGCACACAGCAGCACCCCTGGGGCAGCGTCCGGCAGACACTTGAGGTACTTCTGTGAAGGTTCATGAGGCCAGGTCCATCCCTATTTGTGAAAGTTCACAACTTGAATGCTCCTAAATCAGGGAATTAGTGTATATCATTTTCCTTTCATAGGAAGGAGCAGCATTATAAAAAGTTACTTTAATTTATTAAAGTATTCTTAATTCTCAGATGATTTTTTTGTTTTTTGTTTTTCTTTTTTTCCTTTTTGAGACAGGGTTTTGCTGCATAGCGCAGGCTAGCCTCAAACTCAGTTATCCTCCTGTCTTAGCTTCTGAATGCTGGGATTATAGGTGTGTACCACTACACCCTGCAGTCTCAGATGATTTAGAACAGATTTTTTTCAGATTCTGAAAAATTATATAAATTCAGGAAAGACCCTACCAAATATAAAAATATGTAAAATGTAGCAGTTAAAAAGGTCATTATGTCTGGGTGTGGTGGGACACGCCTATCATGCAGGCTGTATTGGAGCCTGAGGCAGGAGCAGCTCAGGCTTGAATCTAGTTTGGGATTTAGTAATTTAGTGAGATTTTGTTTCAAAATTAAGAAAAACAAAAAAGGACCGAGCGTGTAATTAATTGCAAAGATCCTAGGTTCAGTTCCTCCCACTGCAAAAAAAGTAGGGAGAAGGGGGAAGGAAAGGGCGGGAGGGGTCAGAAGGGTTTTGGGTTTTCCTTTTCAGTACTAGGGATTGACTGAAGGGGCTTCCAGGTGCTAAGAGAGTGCCGTACCACCAAACTATATGCCATGCTTTTTTTGTAATTTATTTTGAGACAGGATCTTGCCCAATTGCCCAGAATGGCCTTAAATTTACAATCCTGCCTCAGCCTCCTCTGTAGCAGGGATTACAGGAATGTACTACCATGCACAATTTGGAAAATCTTAGTTGCTTTTAAAAAGAAATAAAATAGCCAGCCAGCATGCCTGTAATCCCAGCTATTTAGCAGAGCTGAGGTGGAAGGATTATAGATTGGGGGCAGTCCAGGGAAAAGCAACCCTACCTCAGCGTTTTGTTATTATTTGTCTTTTCGAGATAGGGTTTCACTGTGGAGTTCAGGCTTGCTCTGAGCTCACTGTGCCCCAGGCAGGCCCTGCAGTGATCCTCCTGCCTCAGCCTCCTGAGTGTTAGGATTACAGGTGTGTACCACCATGCCCAGCTAAAAGTTTTAAAACGTGCTCAGCATATAGCTGTGACAGGTCACTTGCTAGGATGATGATCCCAGCTTAAACTCTCAGTATTAGGGGAGAGCAGTGGTAGAGCACTTGGCCTGACATGCATCATGCCCTGGGTTCAAGCATCCCAATCCTGAGGGAGGAGAAAAGAAAAAGATACAAGATAGGGATTTGTCCCTTTCTCTTTAGTGCGTGTATATGATGGTGAATGTTTGGAGGTAATCTGCAACAGACTTCTGATGACCCTAAAAAAACATATGAAGATGAAAGCCATCACACTGAGAATAGCAGCCACAAAGCACCTCAGTGGTGCTTCTTGATAACCAGTCTTGGCACCACTCCCCTATGGAATTTTTTTTTTTCTTTTTCACCTATGGAATTTTTAAAATGTGAGATACTAAGTTCCCTATGTTACGGGCAACCTTGATTGTCAACTTGTTTGACTTGAGATGGCTGGATCAGAACAGTGCCCTCCTGGGTGTTACCTGGGTAGGTTTTTAGCATGACCTGGGGGCCACATATCCCTTACCTCCTTCGCCTTGGGTTCTCTCTCATTTTGCTTCCTGGGCGTCATACTGGGGCAGCTTTCCTCTGCCACAGCCTTCATGATGATTCTGGCTTGGAGCCAGCAGACCTGGACAGAACTCTTAAAACCATTAGTAAAATAAGCCTTTCCTGCTGGTAATTCGACGTGTCAGCAGGCATTTTGTTTCAGTAACACAAAAATAACTGTACCATTCTATCCATTTTAGGGATATGTATTTTGTTACTTAAAGCCATAAGAAACCTCTCAGTAGATACAAGGGGGAAATTAGGTTTTCCAAGAAATGACATATTTTTAAGGGGAAGACAAAAGTTTACATGTAAAGCAATAAAATCACAAAGAACTACAGATGTGGTAGTGTATGCTTATAATCCAGGTTTGAGTATTGGAAGTTTTAGGCCAGGCTGGCATATGTAGTGAGATTTTGTCTCAAAAAACCAAATAAATGAATAAAATCATAAAGTACTAAAGAAAATGATTTAAGATCTTATGGTAAGGAAGGCCTTTGCAACACACAAAAGTAGAAAAGCAAAGGAAAATAGCAAAAAACAAAACGACCTAAAATTGGGATTTTGGGAAAGACTGAATACACAAATGCAGAAGAATGACAGGAGACCACTATTGACGCTGTACAGACAAATCAGCTTAAAATGAACTGCAGATGCTAGCTGGGCCCGGTGGACAGGCCTGCGCATGTTGGCACTCTGGGAGGCGAGGCGGGAAGCTTACAATCCAAGCCAGCCTGGGCAGTTTATGTTTTTGTTTATTTTTTATGTTTCTTAGCACATTTGTGCTATATACCGGTTACATTCCCTGTGAGGGGTTGGTACGTGCATGTGAAATACTAATTTCTACTACTTCCCCTGCTCCCTTCCCTCCCCTCACCCAGCTCTACTTCTCCTTGCCATTTGCACGCGGATCTTCCTTCCTAGAAGACATTATCTTTTAATTTGCCCCTTATTTATGCTTTGAGTTTCTCATGTAAAAGAAACTTTATGATGTTCAAACTTGTGTGTCTGATTTATTTCATTTAAATTTTAGTCTCGGCTGGCCCGAAGGTAGTGAGTTATCTCAATTGATTGTTCACAGTCAGTACAGATTGAACTCCTCGTTCTACTCTTTCCCCCCTTCTCACTACTGCACTTGACTAGTCTTAAAAAAAAAAAAAATTTAGTCTCAGGGTACATCCATTTGCTAAAAATGAATCAAATTTACCCTTTATCCAGCCTGGGAAATTTCACACTTTGGCCAGACTCTGTCTCAGACAAACACAAAGGAACCAGAGACATAGGTCAGTATAAAGGCCCTTTATTTAATCTCCAGGATGGGGGGAGGAAAAAAAGTAAAATCTGAAAATTTCCGAAAGACAACATAGCAGGAAGCTTTGTAACACTGGTCTTGACAATAATTTGTATATCACACTCTTAACCACTGACAACAACAAAAGCAGAGACAAATGAGTGTCAGGCTAAAAGGCTGCACAGCAAAAGGAAAACAAAAGTCTGGAACAAAAAGAAAATGTATAAAAGGCTATCTGCCAGTCACGTATCCAATTAGTAATATCTAATAGTATAAAACTCCTACAACTCAATAGCAAAAAAACATTTGACTGAAAAATAGGCAAATGACTGAACAGATCTTTTTCCAAAGAAGGCATCCAAATAAAGGACCAGCAGGATGCCCTCCATTCCTACTCAGGAAAATGCAAATCAAAACTACAGATGACCACTGTCAAAAACAAAATGACAAGTGAGGAGTAGAGAAATCAGAACCCTTATGGGCACTGTTAGTGATGAGGGTTATCCCTGACAGTGACTTGTTAAGGTCTGTACAATACAGAAGAGTACTGTGCTGAAAGTGAAAATGTTTGACTAATGTCACTGTTGGCTGAACATTTGGAGACATCTCTGCAATCCCACCCACCAGAGAGGCTGAAGCAAAAGGATCACAAATTCAGGGAGGCCAGCCTGGGTGACTTAGGGAGACCCTGTCTCCACATGTAAAAGGCTGACACAGCTCAGAGATACTGTGCTCAATCTCTAATACCCCAAGGATAAACAAACAAACAAAACTAGGTTTTTAAATTCTAAGGGTATTTTTATTTTGTTCAAGATCCAAATAAAAGTTTAGTATCCAAAACATTTTCAACAAAATTTTTGTGTACAATGTAAACAAACAGCACCAGGGACCACTATAAAATTCCATCATACAGTTTCTGTGCAGGCTGTTTCACTAGTAAATGGGAGTCAATTTATTTTAAGTGCTTGTGCCTGCTGAAAACTATTCAAACTGTTCGTCAAATACCAGGTGGTATCTTCCCACTGATATTTCAGATATCCCAATAAATTCGATCCATATTCTGACCATCAACTTGAACTGCACAGCTTAAGAGAAGTGTCACTTGCATTGTGTGAAGCAAATGGTACAGTGTATGGAAATGCACTGCACGTCGCAGACTTGGGCTGCCTTCAACAGAAACACCATCTGGCTCTGCGGTCAGCGGTGTCAGGATGGCTCATCAGCTAGATCACGCTGGTCAAAATACCTAGTTAAAAAATCCATAAAGTTTGCATGAATATGCTAATTACAGTATAGTAACCACACAGAGGCACAAACAACCCACGTGACCTGATGGAAACTAATAAGCCACAATGTGATGGGAGGGTATGAAGCTATAGAAAAAGGAAAAATGAGCTGAGCGTGGTGGTATGTGCCTGTAATTCCAGCACTCGGGAGGCTGAGGCAAGAGGTTGGCCAGCCTGGACTGCACAGTAAGACTCTATGTTAGAGGAAAAAAACCTGTGTGATAAGGTCTTGTGCTATCCCATTCTGCCCCACCCAGCATGTGACTGGTCCCTTTGTCCAGTGTACTCCTACTCCATGTACCACCTGCCTGTTAGTTGTCGTATTTAGTGCTTGTGTTTTCTCAGACATGGCTGAAAAATGCCAGGGTATGATGCTGGCAGTTTGAGAATGCCAAAAGTAAGCTGTATGTTGGCTGCCTTCAAGTGAAAAGGTACAATCTCTCAACTCTGTTACGAAAGGGAAAAACGTCATGTGTTGAGGTTGCCAGGATCCACAGTATGCATGAGTTTTCTATCCATGAAATTAAGGAAAAACAATCTACTAGTTTTGCTATGGCAACTCAAACTACAAAAATAACAGTCACGCTGGAGAAAGCAGTAAACTACAGGTACTCTGCATGGGTCTTGGAATGTATTCCTTTAAGATAAGGAGGAACTTATTATATAACATTAAAGAGAAAATCAGCTGAGTATGGTAATGCACACCTGAATCTCAGCATTCTGGGAGGCTGAGGTCTGAGGATCACAAGGGCAGCCTGGGAAACTCAGCCCTGTGAGCTTGTTTCAAAATTAACAAAATCTGACCCTAGATTCATTCTCCAGTATTATACATACAAACAAGCAAAGCCAAATGGCATTGTTACAACTGAAATATTGATCTGAACTCAGGATTTTTTTTTTTCTTTCTAAAAAGTACATCCCTGGGTTGGGCATGCAGCTTAGTGGCAGAGTGCTTGGCTGGCATTGGCACACCTTGGGTTCAATCCCTAGTACCACAAATAAGTAGGGCATACATTTTAGTTCTATTAATTCAAAAGGCCTAAAAACAATGACCAAGTTAACAACTAGTTTCTTTTCTTTTTTCTTTTTTTTTTTTTTTTTGGATACAGGTCTCACTATGTGTTTCAGGCTGGCTGTGAACTCACTGTGTAGCCTAGCTGGCCTTGAACTCCTGGCAGTCCTCCTGCCTCAGCTTCCTGAGTGCTGAGCTAAAAGGTGTGCACCACTATACCTTACAACAACTAGGTTTCTTTAGTTTTCAAATCATGGTCTTTAAGAGCCTTTCTCTACTTTAAAAAAAAAAAAAAGGAACCAGCATTCCCATATAAAGGACTGATTTCAAAGCCAGGGATGGTGGTACACACCTGTAATACCAGCACTGGGGAGGCTGGGATAGGAGGATTCAGTGAGTTTGAGCCAAGCCTGGGCTGCACAGTTAGTTCAAGGTCAGCCATATACAGTATATAGCACGACTTTAAAGAAAAAAAAAAAAAAAGGAAACAAATCTGTTTCCAGAGAGGAAAAGACTTGAGGGGAGAGAAGGGGATTGGGCAAAAAAAAAAAAAAAAAAAAATCATCAAGATATATCATTTTCCTACACTGAATGTGATCATTTTGCATACCTAAAATGTACCAATAAATTAATAATAATAAAAGACTGCTAAGGATTGGTTAAATGGAGACAGAAGGTCTTGGGAAGGGGTCGGTGGTAGGGTGTTTGCCTAGCACCTTGGTTGAGCCGTAACACCACACACACACACACACACACACACACACACACACACACACACACAGACAGAGGAATTGACTTCAAGTGCTCCAACAGGTCAAAGATGGAACAATTTCATCATTTATAAAAAACAAAAAAACCCTATAATGGACATAGCTCTGATTTGTTAAAATTCCTCAATTCAAAATGATAAACCAAACTACAACCTTACTGATCACCTTTAGAAATTGTTATGCCAACTCTCAGTCATCTAAAAATTAGTAAGTAATGTTTTTTGGTATAAACTGTACCTGAGTGTAAAGAAACAATTAGAAGGTTTTTAAAAATACCAAATAATTCTGGCTAATCAGTGAATAAGAAATGATGAAAAGCCCAGCATTTAAAAATCTTTAATGAAGTAAGTTTAAAGCATGAATCAGTAGCTGCCATAGTCAGCAGATAATCAGAAGGGAACAGTGATCCCCACTGCTGCTCCCAGCATTCTGTGAATGGCTGCACACCTGGGCCTGCAGCACCTGAGCACACCAGTAAGGTCCCATCAACATCCACACTTGGTGCCATGGGTCTTTCCAGACCTGCCTCCTGCTGCACAGCACGCGTGGGGTTAGAGGAACACGGTAACGCTGCCCTGAGTCAGTCACCCATGACGGGAAGAGCTGCCATCACCCAACCCACTTATTTCCATACCTAAGTAACCAAAAACTAGGGGGTTGGTAGAGAGACAGATGAGATATTATCACACTAATGCAATAAATGGGTCCTGGTTTAGAAACTTAAATGTAAAAATATATTTTAGGAACAACTAGATAGATATGAAATGTATTGGACAGCAGATAATACTGAGGAATTATTAAATTCATTAGGGTGGCTATCAGTATTACTGTCATGTTTTTGAAAAGCACTGATTGGTTAGACACATACCCGAAACAGGAGAATTTGTGTAAAGCACACTTAAGGAGATGAGGAGAAATAAAACACCATTCCTGCTGAAGCTGAAGCTAGGCATTAGGTGAGCCTGGGGATTAGTTTTATGTTTGTATGTGAAAATCTCCATAAGAAGTTTTAAAAAGATAATTATCATTGGTTAAATAATTAAGGTTAAAAACATTTTTTCCCCCAAATCCATTTTATTTCAAGGCTAAGAAGAAAAAAAAAAACTACAACAAAATTTCAAAACATGTCAATCGGAAGCAACAAGGGTACATATATTACAAACTATCTTTCTCAAATCATTCACCCAGTGGAAGCACAAGGCAGGTAGCAAATATGATCCTAGCTGAATGGGACTCTAGTCAAGAGATTATTGTTACGCATTAGTAGTTACTGCTTTTTGTTGTTGTTGTTGGTTTTCTTCTTTGTTTTTATTTATTTATTTATTTATTTTTAAGGATTGAACCCAGAGCTTCACCTTATAAAATTTGGGGTTTTTTTGAGACAGGGTCTCACTATGCAGCTCAGGCTAACCTTGAACTCATGGTAATCCTCTTGCCTCCAGCTCTCAAGTGCTCAGATTAAAGGCATGCACCATTACACCCTACTAATAATTTTTTGAAACAAGATTTTAGTAATTTGCTAAATTGTCCAGGTGAGGCTCAAACTTGCAATCCCCCTGCATCAGTCTCCCGGTGTGCTGGGATCACAGGCATAATCTCATGCCACGCCCAATTTGTTTCTTCAAATGTTTTATTATTAATGCTTTGGCAGCACGTAGAAAAAGGTGCTCAATAAATACCTATTATATGAATGAACAAAAACTTCATTATGCTGGTCTTGTTATCTGAAATAAAGAATGCTATGCTTGATTTATTCTTAAGTGTGATAAGAATTAGGAAACTGGGTCGGGGATTTAACTCAGTGGCATAAGCGCCTGCCTGGCAAGTGTGAGGTCATGAGTTCAATCCCTGGTACCAAAAAAAAAAAAAAAAGAATTAGGAAACTGAAGCCGGGTGTGGTGGTGCACATCTATAGCCCTCACATTCTAGCAAGCTGAAACAAGAGGATCACAAATTCCAGCCCAGTCCCAGCAACTTAACAACTTAGTGAGACCCTGCCTCAAAACAATTTTTAAAAGGTGTCCTCTTTGCACTATATCTAAGTGCAAAGGTCCTGGGTTCAATTCCCCAAACCATTAAAAAAAATTAAGAGATTGATGTATTTGAGTCATTATTATCAGAGTAAGCTTCAATTATAAACGAATCAGTCAAAAGAGCTTTAAATGTGCCACAGGGATGAATTTCCTAAAAGAAGCATTTTAATTCACAAACTTATATGAGCAAGTTAAATTAAGAGTTCTTTATGCTACCAAAAGAAACAAAATTAACAAGAACATAGACTGAAAACAGTATCTGATCTTGGAAACAACCTAAATGCTCATCCACTGAGGAATGGATAAAAAAGATGTATTTTTTTTTTAATAATGGAGTACTACTCAGCCAAAAGATAAACTAGAGACTTTTATAGGTAATGGATACAAGTTGAGACCATACTCATAAATGAAATAAGACACAAACGTGTAAACATCATGTCTCACTAGTAAGAGAAGCTGAAACAACATATATGTGTATATGTATATAAAAATAGTTAAAGATAGTTAAACTACTGATTTCTCTGAATCTACTGAAGAGAAAGATTTGTCTGGTGTTGTTTGGACAACTGAATGCACATGTCTCGTGCTCTGGATGAATGATTGGGGATGACAATGTGCAATGTATGTACCACTGTCGCCCTGATTCATGTGTTTTGAAATTTTCTTTTTTTTTCCTCTTTGAAATAAAATGGATTTGAAAACGAAACAACAGTATCTGATACTTCTGTTGAAGCCAAGTGTAGTGGTGCATCCACTAATCCCTGCACTTGGGAGGTTGAGGCAAAATTGCCATGAGTAAGAGATCAGCCTGGGCTACATAGTGACCTCAAGGCCAGCCTGCACTGAACAGTGAGACCTTGTTTCAAAAAAGAAAAAGGAAAAGAAAAGAGAAAACAAAAAACAAAAACCAAGTCAGATGAGGTGGCACATACCTGTAATCCCAGCACCTGGGAGGTGGAGGCAGGAGGATCATTGTGAGTCTGAGGCCAGCCTGGGCTACAACAAAGTGAGTTCTCGTCTAGCCTGCCCTACCCAGTGAGCCCCTGTCTGGAGAAGCCAGGCTGCATGTCGGATGTGTCTGGTGAAGTGGAGCCGCTGAAGTTTGGATGCTATTCCTATGATTTACCAGATGTGACACTATGAATGTGATGAAATCCCTCTCTCTTGCTTCCTCATTTGTATGAATAATGTGCCTCTACATTATGAGGAATGAGCAAATGAGTTCCTAGCATGAGAAGCTAGGAAAAATGCTTGGCACAAACCCAGGAAATGTGGATTAGGAGAAGCAGCAGAATTACTGCAGACCAAGAAACCAGCTGTAGAGTCTGTGTATTCTGCAGGAGTGTCTTGTTTCAAAGACAGAAGAATGGACTGAGGACTTTTTTTTGGTACAGGGATCGAACTCACAACTGTGTGCTTGCAAGGCAGGCGCTTATGCTGCCGAGCTAAATCCCCAGCCCCTAGACTGAGGACTCTTTACCTTCCTGATATTTAAATATACAGCTTCAAAAGGTACTGGCATTGTAATAAGAACACAGATCAATGGAACAAAAATATGTCCAGAAGAGACCTAACACAAGTAGGTATGTGGGTCACCAGAATTTAGAATATAGAGTTAAAATTTTTCAAAGAAATTCTAGGTGGAACAGTGATACAAAAAATTAAACCAAATATACACTAAAAATATACCTGAATTGAAAAAGAATAAGGGATCCAGGTAATTAATAAAAATGCAATAAAACTGTTTTACTCCACAGATAAATAAGAAGCTAGCATTTACTTAACTATACCTGCTAACCAAGCAGATTAATAAATTCAAAGCAGGAACCCTTTCATCATCTTTGGTGTCCTAAAGAAAAGAAAAGAAAACAAAACAAAACTTTAAACAAGTTTTTTTTTCCTGTATTATTTTTTGATAAGTTACAAAACAGACACAAAACATGAAAATAGGAAATGTTAGAGTTAATGATTTCTTTCTTTCTTTTTTTTGGTCTTGTTCTTTTTTATCGGTACCAGGGATCGAACTCGTGACTGCCTGCTTGCAAGGCAGGTGCTTATGCTGCTGAGCTAAATCCCCAGCCCCTTAGTTAATGATTTCTTAAGAAATATGTTTGTGTTTGGTAGTGCTGAGGATTGAACCCAGGCCACTGAGCTACACTGCAGCCCTGCTTTAATTTCTCTTTCTAACTTTGAGACAGATTTTCACTAAATTGTCCAGGCTGGCCTTGAATTTGTAATCCTCCTGCCTCAGCCTTCAAGTAGCTAGGATTACAGGTATTACCACCATGCCTGGCTTTTAAGATCATTCTTCTTTCTTTCTTTTTTTGGTACTGGGGATTGAACTTAAGACCTCGTGCTTGCTAAGTAGGTGCTTTGCTGCTGAGCTAAATCCCCAGGGTGAGATCATCTCTCAAAGAAAGATCCTCGTTCAGAGAGATTAAAGATTAAAGCTGTCTAGCAGTGGCTCTAACTGTCCTGGGGCTTGATTAGAATTGGGGTGGTGGTGGTGGTGGTATTTTAATGTGGGCCTGGCATGGCCCCTCTTCCACATGCACCACTTACTGCACTTGCATGTGCCTGGCCTACATCTTCATTTTATTTGAACTATTACTATTTTGTACTTTCCCACTCTGTAGCCTAACCCAAGCCCGACTCATGACATCCTTCCACATTTTTCTATTTCATTGGAATTGCCTTCTATTACTCAGAAACAGTGCTTTCAATGTGCAATAGAAACGTACAACTCACCACTGACAGCCTCACTTCAGAGCATCTTCTTGCAAGCTGCCGGATCAGGGAGTGAGCTTCGGGGAGTAAAGGTTTCTCAAGACAAGCCAATAAAGCATAAAACCATCTTCCCTAAAAAGAATTTTAAAAAGTAGTTAGGAGACAAGCCTCCTGGGCTCTGGGATCACAGGAGTATACCACCATATCCACTTCTCCTAGATTTTATGAGTATTTATACAGGATATTAGACACTTCAAAATATTCTCAGATTCCCAAAGAGTTCATTTCAGCAATTCTTGGGAGTTTTTTGAAACAAGGTCTTGCTATATTGTCCATGTTGACCCCGAACTGATATCCCCCTGGTTCAGCTTCCCTAGTGCTGGGATTACAGGTGTGAACCAACCTACCTGCTTTTATTTCAGAGATTCTTACCATAACTGGAGTCTCAATTTATAAGCAAGAAACTAAATTAAGATATATAAAAATCCTTACAAGAATGAAGATACTTCCCCCCTTAACAGATACATGAGTCATTTTATAATTCTATAATTTGTACCCAGGTCCATATGAAAAAATATTGTAAACAAAATAGTTTTGACACTTCTATAAACAGAAGCTCAATTCACTGTCATTCTTTTTTAAATGGGTTTTTTCAATTATAAAATAATATTCACTCAGTGTAGGAAAAAATACGAAAAATACCAAAAACAAACCTGCAGTCACACTGTTACTGTCTCATGTGGATGAGTGTGGTGGTACGTGCCTATAAGCCCAGTACTCATCAGGATGGGGCAGGAGGGTCACTGTGAGTTCGACAGCAGCCTAGGCTAAAAAATGTGTTCAAGGCCTGCCTGAACTACAGAGCAAGACCCTGCACCAAAGAAAGAAAAAGTCTTAGTGTTCAGAGAGCAGGGTTTTAGAAGGTGACTGGATCATGAGGGTACTCACTTGACCATCTCGTCCACTGATGAGAGCACAACCTGATGGCGTTAGGGGAGCTCATGGAAATAGGACGGGGGTCTGGCTGAAAGGAGTGGGCCATGGGGCATGACACTGGGGCTGAATCTGGTCCCTTCATCTCTGCTTCAAGGCTGACATGCGGTAAGCAGCTCTTCTCCATTGCACCCTTTTGCAAGGTGCTCTGCCTCACCTCAGGTCCACAGCACTAGAACCAGCCAACCACAGACTGAAGCCTCCAACACTGTCAGCCAAAGTGAATCTTTCCTCCTTTTTTCTTGTACTACGGATCGAATGTACAACCTTGTGCTTGCCAGGCAGGTACTGTAATGCTGAGCTATGTCCTTGGCCTGATCCTTCCTCTTTTAAGTTGTTTTTCTCAGGTATCTGCTCATAGTGATATAACACTAACACTTTATTATCCAGAAAAATTCTATTAATTGTTTTAAATGTTTTTCTCCTATATAAAGTTTCATCATTATAATACCATCTTGTAGCCACCTTTATTGATGATATAATAATAAACATCTCCCATGTTGTTCCTCAGGATTATTAAGGAGCTGTTATTAAATAGATGTAATATTTCCTTGTTAACCCCATGCAACAAGGAAAATTTTACTATATATTACAAGAAATATGACAGTATTTACATTCTAAAAGTTTCTGAGACACAATCACTGGGCTGTACTAAGACAGTTACACAAAATTAGTTCCACTGGCAATATATAACTTAGTTTTTTTGTTTTGCTGGGTTGTTTTGTTTTTGGTTTTTGTTTTGTGGCAAAGTGCATCTGAGAAAGTAAAAGTGAAGAGTGGGAGAGAAACTGGCTCTATAGAGCAAGCTTAGGCTGAATAAAGAGAATGAGAGGGTAGGAACAAAGATAAAAATACAGCGGGGTGCTGGGTGTGGTGGTGCATGCCCGTAATCCCAACACTTGGGAGGCTGAGGCAGGAGGATCCTGGTGGGTTTGAGATCAGCCTGGGTTACAAAGTGAACTCAAGGCCAGCCTGAGCTGTGTCGTAAGACCTTGTCTCAAAAAGAACAAAAAATAGAAAATAAAAAAAGTACAATCAACCCATTGTCTAACTTGCTCTTTAAAGAAAAAAAAAGTACAAGTGGGCTACCATGGAAAGCTAGTAGCTTAACTTTAGTTTAATTCTGAGCAACCTATCACTTGGGAGAAACCTAAAGAATATCAGAGTAAAGCTGAAACAGCAACTTGACAACATACTAAGTTAGTTCCTCAGACAACCCTGAATTGGTAGTAAGAGTTTTCCTTAAACAGATCCACATCCTGGTTTCTTTTGCAAATAGAATTTTCCATATTAAAAGATCACCCGTTAAAATATGATTCAAGTTTGTATGTAAACAAGTGTTAGGCAAAATTTTGCTAGTACTGGAAAAATCCTTATTGGGTGACAAATGTGACACGGCCATCTTCCCCACACAACCACAAATGCAGCCATCGTCCCCAAAATCATAAAACAAATTTAGTTTGTAAACTGAGGCTCCGCTGTATTTACTAAGCAAAGTTACCATTCAAGCATTCAAAGGGCTTCTACACTTAAAAGTTGCTTAAACCGCTACTGACAGTCTAAAATTTTACACTGAAGAATTCTTTGCTTAAACTCAATAGCACACTGTGATAATACTGAAAAGCCCAAACTTAAATAACCAAAACCCACACTATGAGGTTGAAACAAGAATATTCTAATTATAAATATAATAATTAGTCACATCTTGTAAGCAGTATACATACAACTGTTTGTGCATTATGAAGATAAAAAAATGCAACACTACCAATTCTGGAGTAAAGTCTCTTTCTCCAAACCAATTACTCAAATATTCCAAGACACTAGTTACTGTTGCCTGAAAAAAAAAAGATGGGGTGGAGAAGAGTTATATTAGTAATAAAATACTGACAAGTTCAATGTGAGTTTCATGAAGTCTAGTTAAAAAAGCATTCTGATGTTTAAAATGGCCAAATTCTTAGACTTCCAAGAAAAAGTAAGGCAAAATTTCAAGTATCCAAAAACAAACAAACAAACAAACAAACAAACAAACCAAAAAAAAACGTCAAGGATTTAGCTTGACGTTTGCCTGCCTGGTAAGTGTGGGGCTGAGTCCAATCCCTAGGACCTTAAAAAACCAAAACAAAACAAAACCTCTATTATCAACTAAGGCTTTGGTTTTGATCCTAGATTTAGTTAATAACTACTAATTTAGTTTGTAACTATTGAAAAAACTTCACATGCTCTTAAACTGAATCTCTGTAGGGCTGCAGCTAAAGCTCAGTGGCACAGTGCCTGCCTGGCAAGCACAAGGACCCTAAGTTTGATTCCTGGTACCCAAAAAAATTGAATCTCTGTATAAATATCTTCAGTTTATTTCCCAATTCAATTAAATGAAAGTAGAAATCTAAAGAAAAAACTAGAAAAGGACTGGTTTTAAAATTACACAGGGCATGGTGGCACACACACATCGCTGTAATACCACTACTTGGGAGGCTGAGGCGGGAGGTTTGCTCCAGCTGGTCTACAAAATGAGTTCAAGGCCAACCTGAACTCACAGTGAGACCTTGTCTCCAAAGAATAAAAACCCCACCAACCAACCAACCAAACGAAAAATCTCCCTACCCCAAAAACATTACACAGGGTTGTAGTTTGCTGGTAAAAGCACTTGCCTAGCCTGCAAGGCACTGAAGAAAACAAAATTAAACCAACAGAAAACCCCAAAATTTTCCAGACAAAACTAGCAATACTTTGAAAGCATTCTTTAGCTTATTCAACTACACTTAGGTTCTTACAAAAAAAAAAAAAAAGAATTTAATGTGACTGTGACAGGATCTTTTTTTTTTTTTTTTTTGAGACAGGGTCTTACTATGTAGCTCAGGTTGGTCTCAAACTCACAGCAATCCTCCAGCCTCAACCTCCCGTGTTGGGATTACAGGCATGTATGCCACCACACCTGGCTCAGTGACAGTATTTTAACCCAAATGATAAAGTAAGTGAAACTATCATCCTGTATATGACTTCCAACATAGTGTATGACCTTCAAAAAAAAAAAAAATTCTTCCCATGGCACTTAACACTATCTACATAAAAGCAGAATCAGCTTTTTTGCTTCGTAAGTAGGTAACAGAATCTCTACTCGTAAAAACCCTACGAACCAAATTCTGTATTTCTTCCCTTTTGGTCCTGGAAATCGCTTTTATTCTAGTTTTTCTTCTTCTCTGGTCAGTGAATCTATGGCCTTGGCACTGAGATATATCCTGAGCACACGTTTTTAGTTTTTATTTTAGACAGGATCTCACTAAGTCACCCAGAATGGGTTTGAACTTGTGATCTTCCTGCGCCAGCCTCCCAGACTGCTGGAATTATCACACTCAGCAAATTTCAATCTTAATGTCATGTGTGGGACATCTGCGAACTAGAAGTGGCACTCTGACCTCAATATTCAATTTGAACTGGCTCTAGGAATAAATACTTTGGCACCATATTAAGAGCATGAGTTCAGCAGCTGAATCCGCCTGCTATTAAATCTCAGTGCTTTCCCCGACTTTCTAAAAAACTACCTGAAAGTCACTTAAACTTAGATTTTGGGTCCTGGTTTACAGAAAATGGTTATTATCCATGTGTAGTGGCACACAGCTCCAGTCCTAGCACTCAGGGAGGACGAGGCAGGAGGGTTGAAATTCTGAGCCCAACCTGAGCAACTCAGTGACTTGGTGAGACCCTGTCTCAAAGTAAAGAATTATAGATAATGCTGGCGATCAAGCTCAGCATGAAGGCCTTCAGTTCAATTCCTAGTAGTGTTAAAACAAACAAACAAACAAACAAGCAGAAAAGAGTTTAGAACAGCCAGGTACATAGAACTAGGAGGATTGCAAGTTCCAGGCCAGCATGGACAATGAGACAAAACCCCCATCACAAAAAACAAAAATCTGTAAAACTTCTGAAGCAATTAGTACACAGTCTTATACACTGTAATATGCAAGTAAATGTATTCTAATACTTCACACATTACAAACAAAATCATGCAGACATCCTTAATATTTGATAGATTTTACCTGATTCATTCGGCTGACAATACTAAGCAAGGGAGGAAATCCAATCTGAAAGAAAAAGTAACAGTGACATTCACTAAATGATATTTTAAGACGGGCTTTTTTCCAAACTATACATTTCCTTGTTAAACTGCAATTTAGAAATAAAAACAGATAAAAGGAAATTTCTTTATTGCCCACTATAATGAGACTTCCTGGAATTATTATGTTGACAAGGCTCAACAAAATATATCTTGAAATTTGGATATATAAATTTAAAAATAAAGTATGATTTTAGTAATTAAAATATTTATGAAATAAAAACGGCTTAAAAGTTAACATCAGGGGCCAGGGATTTAACTCAGTGGCACAAGTGCCTGCCTGGCAAGTGCAAGGTCAGAGTTCAACCCTATACCAGAAAAAAAAAAAAATTAACATCAAGTATTTTCAATAAATTATGATATATGGATACTATTAATATGTTGATACACCATTTAAAACAGCTATTGTTTTCAGGAATTAAGAGTACCTGAATTTGAATATATTTATTTATTTATGTTTTTTTTATTTTTTTGTTTTTTGGTACTGGGGATCAGACTCATGACCTTGCACATGACAGGCAAGCGCTTATGCTGCTGAGCTAAATCCCCAGCCCTACAATGTTGGTTTTTTTTTTAAAACTCATGACCTCGCGCTTGCCAGACAGGTGCTTTTGCTGCTGAGCTAAATCCCTGGCACCCTAGAATGTTTTAAAGAACTTTTTTTTTGACAGAGGGTCTCACTATGTAGTTCAGGCTGGCCTCAACTGGCAGCAATCCTCTTGCCTCAGCCTCCTGAGTGCTGGGATTACAGGTATGTACCACCACGTCTAGAAGCATACACTAAATTCTTATGTCCTTATTTGGTCTTTTAAACACGGTATACTTTACTTGTTTATATTCTGTGGTAACAAGCTAAATAGGTATTTTTCATTAGAACATTTTGAAATGTGGCTTGCATTAAGTATTTATCTAAAGGAACAGGCTGCAAGTCAAGCACAGTACCACATTCCTATAACCCCAGCATTCCAGGAGGCTGAGGCAGGACTATGCAAGTTTGAGCCATGCCTGGCAGTTTAGCGACTTAGAAAAACCCTAATCCCAAATTAACAGAATAAAAAAGAGATCGGGATGTCACTTAGAGGGTGGCCTTGGATTCAATCCCCAGTACCTAAAGAAACAGACTAACAAACAAACAAAAATATATATATGGTGCAAAATAATGCCAAAATGAGCTTCTCTGGAGACTTGAAATTTATACTCCCACACCTGTGTAAGAGTGCCTGTCTCCCAGCTCAGCACACCAAACTTTGCCAGACATGACCTGACAAGCTGTAAGTTACCGCTTTGCTGTGAGTGAGGCTGAACATATTCTTAGAATACAGTGTGTTCTTTCTTTCCATGAGATATCTTTATCCTTTGCCTAATTTTCTTTTTTTTTTCTTGGTGGGGGTAATGTTCTTGGACTTCAGTGAACTTGAAGATCCTTACATTTTGGGGGTAAATTAATTTTTCTCCAATAAAAGGGAAAAACACAATATGGTATCACATAGTAAACAATACATATCTGTTGAACAGAATGGCATAATACATGAAGAACACTGGGGAAGCTAAGGCAGTGTGGCAGAAGACACCCCTTCCCCCATATTTGTCAATTTTTAGTTGCCCAGGAAATAGCTTTGGTTATAGTTTCTGTTACTTTTGTTTCTTAGAAAGGGCTGGTCACCATGAAGCATTTTTTTTGGCTTTTTGAGACAGGGTCCCTCTATGCAGTTCAGCTTCACTCTGTAGCTCAGGCTGGTCTCGAACCCACAACAATCCACCTGCCTCAGCCTCCCGAGCTCTGGGATTACAGGTGTGAACCACCACACCCGGCCACTGTGAAGCATATTATAAGAAACAATCCCAATTGACAAGCCATTCTGCCTATGTACTTCCTGCTTGCTTATCCCGTCTAAATCCCTGATCACTAGAGATCAGAGCCTGACAGTTTGAGGAACAACTGATTCCTAGTCAGTGCCCGTGCAATGTTTAAATAAATCTGCCTCCAAATCCTGAGTTTTGTTTTGGTTTGCTGCTGCAGCAGGAAGATCACTGAAAGGTCAAGGCCAGCCTGGGGCATAAAATGAGTTCAAGGCCACCCTGAACTGTACAGTGATAGCCTGTCTCAAAAAGACAAAAAATAAAAACAAGAAGTATAATAGTAATATAGGTATATGCACTGGTATAGGTATTTCTACAGAAAGATCAGCAAACTTTGGGGCAAGTGAATAATGTACAAGGAGTAGGCCACGAAATTCAGGATTGCTTTTTTTAATTTTTTTGAGACAGGGTCTTGCCACACAGTGAGATCCTGTCTCAAAAAGAAAACAAAATGAAACACCCCAACAAAATAAACAAAAAAACAAATTCTATCAATATGTAAAACTACTACACAGCTCAACCATTAAAGAAATGGAGGCAACCTAAAATAAGTCATAGTAAATTGCTTTAGAAACTGGGCTGACACTTTGTAAGTTAAGCAACCAATAAAAGAAGTCAGGGTTAGCAAATACTTTTTTTAAAGAGCCAAACAATAAATATTTTAGACTTCGAAGTGAGTTATATTTTGTTTCTTCTTATACACTCTTTAAAAATGTAAAAACCATTCTTAGCCCATGAAGTGTTCAAAATCAGACAATATCGTGAATTTCTGGCTCACACAGTTTGCATATAATAAGTGAAGTACCAAAATTACAACAGTCTTTGTTCTGTTTATCCATGTATCACCTACTTGGACATAATCAATCCCAGGACTTTCATTTACAGTTGGCCCAACAACGTCAGCGCATAATCTTTCTCCTAGACAAAATTTTTTCCAGCCTTCTTCATCTTCAGATTTTGGCTGAAAAGGAAAAAAGTGTACTTTTATATATGTTTTTATTTTTATACTGAACAGTAAAAAACAAAATATAAAACTCACCAAGGATACCCCACATTGCTACTACCTCCACACAGTGCCCACTCTGGACAAAGTGGGGTGTTCTGGAAATTTGTATGTTGAAGCCCTAACCTCCAGAGCAACTTAGGCTGTGACTGTATTTGGTGATTAAATTTAAAAAAGACCACGAAAGAGGCTCTGATCTAACCTGACTGGCATTGTTATTGGGGAAAATCTGGATACACAGAAAGTACATTTTTTCCCTTGTGAAGACAAATAATTTTCATTAGATTCTCAGAAACATGTTCTCCCCAAAAGGTTAAAAACAATTGTATAGAACAGTGTGTCTTACCTCTTTACCAACTCCTATTTTCACTTGGAGAGCTCATATAGCTCCTGAAAAAGCTTAACATTATGTCTAAATTGATAAAATGTAGGAAATACTACTTTGTAGGAGCACAACAGGCTTCACTGTTATGTCACCATTACTGTAAAGCAGAAGTGACGCTCCATATATATGCAGTTTACTACAGGGTCCCACTATCACAACAGGAAATTACAATTCAGCCTTTATTCGGGCTTTTTAAACATTGCAAATGTATTTCCTTTTTTTTGTTTGTTTGTTTTTTTCCTGTTTTTTCCCTTTGTATCGGTACCGGGGATCGAACTCACGGCTGCCTGCTTCCAAGGCAGATGCTTATGCCGCTGAGCTAAACTTCCAGCCCGCAAATGTATCTCCTAAAAAATAAAGAATCCGGGGCATTCAAAGAGATTGAATCAAGTGGAAGCTTTTCAAGACAGAAATGTGAGTTGCGTCAGATATTTTGAAGCAGTAATCTTCTCAGTTTGAGGCTGAGCAGAGTTGCTGGGCAGATGCCCTGCAGAAGTCCTATTGTGTAAGGCTGCAGTGAGATGCTTAGCCCAGGCAAGGGTTTGCAGTCTTTGTGATGTAAATATCAGGCAATCATGCTTAACACAACCTACCCTTTATTACTTTCCAGTTTTATTTACTTTTTTGGTTAGTGATGACACAAGTGACTCTATTTTGATTTTGACAACACACACATTTCCAAAATATGACACATATCCAAAGTATCCCAATCCAATGGATTAAAAGTCATGAAAATAACAACTTGTATGACTGGTTATATACTTTTGAGCTACTCATATAATGGAACTGTTACTATGACATAATGGTAATATGGAAAGCAAACAAAAATAAAATGAACTAGAAAAGTGAATCTTTAAAGACTGCAAGTTAACACAGACTATTTCAATCAGGTTATGTTGCACAACTGAAATCGAGAAGTTTACATACCAGAGTCACATTGCTATCCAACTGCTGTGATTTCCAGTGACTTCTATGTTTATTCACATTCTAAAGGAAGAAAAGTTAGTGACCTTTAGATGAGTTAAAAAAGCTGCACAAAACTCTAATCATACTAAAACTTGGGCAATATGTTACAAACAGCAATATGTCTCATGGTTACAACGTTAATAGTGTAATTATCCATAAATATTGTTGCTTTAGAATTATAACAGAAACTGATGTGAAGGGGACTTGATTAAATGTGACATTTACCTGCCGAACAGCTGAAAACTGTGCCACTTGTTGCTGTTGCCATTGAAGTGTTGGGGAATAACCTTCAGGGGCAGGCTGGCATCCTGAAAGCTAGAAATCAGTTCACAAATGTTAGGATCAATGTTCAGTGTTACAGCTGGAATCTCGCCTCTGCAAAGAAAAACCAAGGTGAAGAGTAACTAGCAAGAGTGAAAAATTAAGGCTATTCAAGAAAAAAGGTATTTTTGTAGGTACAGAAAGTAGGCATTTCACTTTACTATTTATGTCTCAATTAAAAGTGGTAGGAAAAGATAATCATTTCAATAAGAGGATTCTCCGATGTCTTATAGCTGGAATTTTTAAGAAATCTAAATGACATAACCCTGAAGATATAATCTAATTTGACCTTTCTATAATTAAAAAACAGAAACAAAGAGAGGTAAGCCCTACATAAAGAATTCTGGTGTGGGTAACACATGCTCAAATAATTCATTTTTTTAAAAAACCAGTACCAGGGATCGAACTCACGACTGCGCACTTACAAGGCAGGCGCTTATGCCACTGAGTTAAATCCTCAGCCCCTTGCTCAAATAATTTAGAGGTCTATCTCTGTCTTCTAAAATAGCACATTGGTGGTGGTGGGGGAAGGGAATTGAAATGCGTTATGTAGATTTACCAATCTCCTATATAATGTGCATAAATAATTTAGACACATGATTTGGAAAGGTCCACCTCTGTTTTCTAAAACAGCACATTGAGCATGTCAGGATGGCCAAGTGGTCTAAGGCGCCAGACTCAAACTTAAAATAGTACATTGGTGTGAAGAGGGGAAGGGAACTGAAATGTGTTATGTAAATGTACCTAACCCCTACCATGAAGGTAATCATTATCATTATGTACTACTAAAGTTAAAAAAAAAAAGCATAATTCATAATTGATCAGCTGCGTATGGTGGCATACACCTGCAATCCAGCGCTCTTTGGGAAGCTGAGTTAGCAGGATCACTTCGAGTTCAGGCCAGCCTGGGCTACAAAGTGAGTTCGAGGCCAGCCTAGACTGCATAGTGAAGCACTTTCAAAGTGACAAAAAACCAGAAACAAACAATTGATCATGTACAGACTTATAATAAAGCTTCAAACATTAGGGGCATATATACATAATATGTAAAATATCATGTTCTTGAAAGTAGAAAGGAGAAGGCTGGAGACCTAGCTCTGCGGTTATAAGTGCCTGCCTGGCAAGTACAATGTCGTGAGTTTGATCCCTGATACCAAAAAATAAAAAATAACAAGAAAGTAGAAATGAGACCTTTAGAGAAGAGGATGGGAATTGAGAGAGGGGAGAAAAGTGGAGCAAAGGTCATAGGGAAGGGAATGATAAAGAATGCAATGTAAATGCGTGTGTGGTGGCTTCCCGAAGGAGACTCAGATTAAACAGGCCAAACTGAACAGTAATCAATTAATATTTATTAATAATTGAGCTCAATGGCCAGCAGCAGCGTCCACTAACAATGGGTACGACCCAACCAACTGGCCCCTAAGTGAAGCTTGTATTGCTATTGAAGGCTTTATGGTAAAATTTCACAAAAAACAGGTGGCTATTTTTTTTTTCAGTTTGTCCCTCTGGAACATGTTTACCTCAGTTTCCAGGGCAGTTTTCAGACAGATATTTCCTGTTATTTACTCATAGACCTAGTTTCAGAACAACCTAGTTTTGGCAAGAAGCCCCTAACCACAAAGTTTAGTCACAGTTCAACATGGTGGCGATTATGCTAAGCAGACCAGTTTTATAGTGCTATGAAACTTAACCCACAACACACGCAAATAGGCAAAAGAAAACCCAATAATCTCTATATAACTGATATGAACTAATTTTTTAAAAGGTGCAATTTTTAAAGTTCATCAATTAAAAATATCTGGGCTGTGCGCGGTGACACACGCCTATAATCCCAGAATTTGGAAGGCTGAAACAGGAGGACTTCCTTGAGATTGAGGCCAGCCTGGGCTATACAGTGAGTTGAAGACCAGTTTGAGTTACAGAGCAAGTCCCTATCTCAAAACACACACACAGACATGCAAAAAAAAAGTCTGAAAAGAAAGTTTATAAAACATTATAACATCTGAAACTTTCCTGATTATAAATATCAGATAATGGAACTGCTTAGATATACAAACAAAATTATTAGCAACTTTTTATTTTAAGTGTCACTTTCTTTCTTTTTTTTCTGTTTTTTTCGGTGCCAGGGATCGAACTCATGACTACCTGCTTGCAAGGCAGGTGCTTATGCCGCTGAGAAAAATCCCCAGCCCCAAGTGTCACTTTCTTAGGACCTTAAATACAACCTCCTCAGAGGGATCTTCTGTGACAACTCTACTCAAAATATTTTTAAAAAATTTTTTTTATTTATATTTTTGCCCATGTAGAAGACAAACTCTATGGAGCAAAACACCTTTTCCACTTTTACCCTCTGTGGTATTCTTAGCGCTTGGTACAATCCGGTCATTTAAGAAAAGTATACTGGATAAATAAATTAATAAAAATGTCCCCAATGTGCAAGTAGATAGAAAGGTATAACACATTTAGGTTTCCAGGGAAAATTCAGAATGTGCAAACTACATTAAGATTAAACACCTGTCCAATAATAATTGTCAAAAGACACCAATGCCCCCCTCCCCAGTAGCATAAGTAGCAAATTAAAAAGCTCCTTTAGGACTACATTATATGCCTAAAAAGAGATGGACAAATCTCTACAATTATTAGGGCTACTGAAAGACTCCGAAGGCACTAAATGTCAACTATCTTTCTGAAACAAAAAATACAAGCGAATGTACAAAAGTATGTTGATCTAACTTTGTAGGGAGCAACCAAATCTTACCCACACTGTAACTTAACACTGTTGGGAACTACAGGAAGATGCTGCTGGGTACTTTGTCTTTAATTTGAGTGCATGTGGGTGAGAAATCCCCAGATGATTAATAAAACTCACAGAAACATTCACACTTTGCTTCCTTTTCAATTTCTTTGGGTCAATTTGAGCTACCACAACATCTGGACACCGAGCTGCTTCGATCCTACAAATAATAAATGCAAGAAATTTAATTACAGTTGTGCTTTTACGCATGTATCGATGCAAGCGATTCATTTCAGTTCATTTTGAAATCAGAAAAATAATTCAGGTTTCAAATTGAGGTGCTGATCATTGCATGCCTGAATTGATTTCAGGAAAGCAGCTAAGAGCACACATCTTGATAGGTTTTGATGTGTGCAATCAAGTTCTAAAGAAACACGCTTTCGTGAGGCTGTCATCCTTCGATCCGCAGCAGATCGGATCTTGCGATAGGCTGGGACGGAAACGGAGGCGGGGTTTATCTCGCATAGCGCTTTCAGCCCGGCACTAAGCGCACAGTCCAGAGGCCGAGAGGACGAAAAGCCCACCCACTCGAGGCCAAATCACTCACTGGACCCGCCTCAGGTATTCCTGAGGCGTCCTGGGAGGTACTGAGGGATCGAAACTTTCCGTCAAGTCGCAGGGCTCCACCGGCAACAGCCGGGGCATCAACTCTTCCAAAGCTGACTCCTCCGGTACCCACGCCATAGTCCCAGATCCCGCCAGTCCCAAAGGACGCATGCGCAGATCGTAGGTCACAGCGCAGGCGCAAAGTAAGCGCCTTTGGCGCGTAGTTGAGTACAAGTCCTGGCTAAAGGGTCATAAGTGCGCATGAGCAAACGTGGTGCTTGCACCAATACTAAGGCTCCGGTGGTGTAACAACAGACTGCGAGTTCAATTCCTACCTGAAGTGATTCTTGTGCCCTTTCTTCTCTAAGAGTTTAGAACTATCTTTTGACTGCGGGTTAACTTAAGCAGCCCTAATAATTTTTTAAAAGTAATGAACAATATAAGGATCACTTATGGAGCACTACATTTACACGTTACATTTAATTCTTACAGTGACTTAAAAGTAGCATTTCCCCGTGATTGATGTGTTTTGAAATTTTTTTTTTCTCCTTGAAGTAAAATGGATTTTTTTTGCGGGGGTGGGGGGAGTGGCATTTTCTGGTTTGGAGGGAAAGAAATTGACAGAATGGTTGGGCACTAAAACTGTGTCACTGCCAAAGAGAAAGGCAAGCCCAACCTAGGTTTAGCTCATGACAATTGGCTAAAAAAAAAAAATTAATTTTCTGCTGGCATTTGTTGTGCCTGGCCTCTATTTTGTTGGTTTTCTCCCACTGTGTAGTCCAGGCTACCCTTAATATTTAGTCTTGAAGTCATAATCGTGTTGCTTTATAACACATATGTTATAAAGCAATACCCACTTTGTTGTTGGTCACTTCTAAGGTATTTAAAGTGAATGTTACTCCTGTGGTGGCCATTTTTTCTAGTTTAAAGAAAAATATTTACATGCATATAGCGCAAATTATAAAGCCAATACCAGCGCTCACAAAATATCTTTACAAGTGTTCCTTGTTTAACAATCTACCTGTTCAACTAATAGGCTTTAGAGAGCAGAAAAGGGAATAGAAATAGGAACCCAACAGTCCAAGCAGGTTTATTGCTAAATATGAGAGACTTCAATACGGAAAAAAAGTGGCTCTTATAGGCTAAGAGGCTTTTAAAGATAGCATTTTTGGCATGCTTTTGAGTGGGTGGGACAGAGAAAGAGGGCCTGTGGCTTGCTGATATACCCTGTGTCCTCTGTGACCTACTGGTGGCTCCGCTCGGACCTAAGTAAAATGAAACCTATGTTTCTTAAAATGGTGGATGGGATCATTCCAACCACAGTGCCCCTGTCCTGCTCTATTAGAGATAATGTATTAACTCCTGCTTTATGTAACCTTTATAAATATTCATACTCTTTGCCATAGGAAAGTTTTTTTTTAAAGACATTTATTTAGTGTCATGATAAGACTGTTACATGTAGCAATCAACAACACAGGTACGAAAACAGTCTGCATGGAAACCCATTGTTGGAATGCTTTACACTTTCCAGAGCAGAAACTAAAATAACCTGTTCTGCAGATAGTCATATCGTGAGTGTCCTGTCCATACTCATGAGCCTTGTCTACAACATGTCTTCTTAGCAGCAAGGCTCTGCCACCACTATGCCTGGTCGAGTTCAGCTGTCTGTTGTAAGCTGTGGCTTCTCTCTCACTTCTCAAGCTCTCTTCTGCTGAGCTTTGCTGCCAGCAGTATTTAACACCTTCTGCCTCTGCTAACGCTCTTGTTATTGCTGGAGCTACCATTGCCACCTTGATTTCGTGGTTTGGTAAAATATTGGCCTCTGCCAACACAGGGTGCGGAGCTTCTGCCTCCAGATGCTCCTCTCTTCATGAGCTCATAGTGTGAAGGTTGGCTGTGGTAACTGACAAAACCAGTGTAGCTTCCGCCCACTTGAAAATGTCTTCCATTACCAATTTCAGTGTAGTGAATCCCTGTGCCATCAAAGGAACCTGGAACACTGCGGTTTCCTCCTCGACCACAACTGACAGAGCCACCAAAACCACCTCGACGACCACCACCAAAATTTCCAGCATCATGTGGACCTCTTGGGCTAGATGAAGCATTAGCCATCTTCTGCCTGGACAGGGCTTTGTTCACCTCACACCTGTAGCCGTTGATAGTCTGGTATCTGTGAATCACAGCCTTGTCTGCAGAATCATAGTCAACAAAGGTTACAAAAGCGAAGCCCCTTTTCTTTCCAGTGTTTCGGTCAGTCATGATTTCAATGACTTCGATTTCTCCATATTGTTCAAAATGACCTCGTAGGTGATGTTCGTCAGTATCTTTAATGCCACCGACAAAGATCTTCTTCACAGTGAGGTAGGCACCCGGTCTTTGGGAGTCTTCCCTGGATACAGCTCTCTTGGTTAGCACCACTCTGCCATCTACCTGGTGTGGCCTGGCCTTCATGGCTGCCTCCACCTCCTCCACGCTGGCATAAGTGACGAACCCAAAGCCCCTGGAGCGCTTGGTGTTTGGATCTCTTATCACCACACAGTCGGTGAGTGTTCCCCACTGCTCAAAGTGCCTTCTAAGACTCTCCTTGGTGGTGCTGAGGCCCAGCCCTCTGATGAAGAGCTTGCACAGCTGCTCTGGCTCCTTGGGAGACTCTGACTTAGGAGACGCTGACTTAGGAGATGCTGACTTGGACATGATGAGAACCTTTTAATAGGAAAAATATGTGATGCGGCTTTAGTGCTCATGGTTGACCAGATGTGGAGGAAGCAGTGGTGTGCTTCTCTCCTAGTGAAACATACAAAAATCCTGGCCTAGAATGTGGCAAACTCCCCTCGCAGAAATCCCACTGGGCACCCAACTGAGGAGCATTCCAGCTCATTCCCCATGCCACGTGGTCTTAGTACCATCTTCACCCTCCCCTGCCCTTCATGCTCCTCACTGTGAGTGGGGCACTAACATCCCCAGGGAGCCTGAAATCCTAAAAGAACCAACTCTCCCCTGCCATTACTCACTGCAGAAACAATATTGCTGCCCTTTGGCATTTCAGGAATATACAGCAGTGGATACCAAGAGTTTACTTAGGAAATACGACATAAAAAAGAGGCCTTCAAATTGCAGTTAAAGTGACAAGCCAAGACAACACACTGTATTGAAATTTTTCCTCAAACTCAGAGCCCTATTCCTGCCTCAGCCTCCCCAGTGCTGGGATTACAGGCGCTCATCACCACACCCAGGCTCACTTCTTTAGATTATTCTGTGATTACCTTAGGCCATTCCAGATAACCCAGGCTGTTATCTCTATTTTGTTTGTTTGTTTTGAACTGAGGACAGCATGCTAGCCAGAAAGGGGCTTATGCCACTGAGCTAAATCCTATGCCCATTATCTCTATTTTAAAATCAGTAGAATTTGCAACCTTATTTCCTCCTGGCATGATTGTTGCCCTTTGCCAGTTAACACAGGTAAGAGACAAGTCCTCAGTACTGGAACGTGGAGATCATCTGGGGCTGCTGCACCCTGTACCAGTGACTCGCATAAAGATGAGTCAGCTCTTCCACAGGGTCTTCCCGATCTGTCTCTAAAATCTAACCTGTATTTTATCCATACAGCCACATATCAGCTCACATTTCAAGGGAAGGGTGGTCCCACTATGGGATAGAATAGTAATAATTATGAGCATTTTGTGAACTGTGTTGCCCAGAATTGTATTTTAATTACAGGCTGGTCCTGAGCTCACTTTGTAACCCAGGCTGGTCTCAAACTCACAAGGATCCTCCTGCCTCAGCCTCCAGAGTGCTGGGATTACAGGCGTGTGGGCCCCCCACCCCTGCCCAGCCGATCCAAGGCATTTAATTTAAATTAAATTTTGTCCTTTGATCAACTGGTCACAAGATGAACACCCACTGGCCACAGTAACGAGAGGATGCCACGCTGGACAGCACGTGTAAAAGACAGGACAACAGCGTGTTCATGCCAAAAGTGTGGTGACCACGAGCTCCTCTTGGTCGTCCTATTTTTTGTTTTGTTGAATATGAAATCATTCCGAGAGCATCTTAATTTGAGCAGCGTGACCTAGTAGTGCTGTCAAGATGAGAAGATTCAAAGCATGCACTTAAGTAATTTAATTGACTTTCCATAAAAATTTAATTGTGAACCCACTAAAAGTGGAGAGCAGTGTTTCTAACAAGCTTTAGTCTCCAAAACACTTCAGAGACACATCTGCACTGCCGCTGTTTTCTCCAGGACAGCAGGAAACGGGAAGAACACACACACCGACACTCGCAGGTTTGCTTTGCCCATGTCTAGAGAGCTGCTCAGCTCAGTGGGCCGAGGACAGCCATCGAAGGCTCACTTTCAAAGTGTCAGTGACTCTTCCAACCCTAGTCGCACTTCTGCTAATTATCTTTCTTTTTTCAGTACTGGGGATTGAACCCCCAGCCCCACCTCTGAGGGCAAGCACTCCACCACTGAGCTACATTCCTCACGCTGGCTGTGGTGCTAAAGGGCACCAAGCCAAAGTAAGGGAGGGAGTGGAGTAAAGTTTCAGTTCTGAGTGAGCTTGGTGGCACACGCCTGTCACTCCAGCGCCCAGGAAGCTGAGGCAGGAGGATCCTGTCTCACTCTAAGCTGGCCTTGACTACATACTGACATCTGAGGTAAAGGACAGCCTGAACCACACAGCAAAACCCTACTTCCAAAAACAGCAACAGCAAAAATGAAAGGAAGAAAGTAACTGGAAAGGGAGATATCACTACAGAAAACAAGAAGTAGAATCCCAGCGTGGGGTGGCTGTCTCCCAGCTGCAGCCCTGGGGAGGCTGAGACAGGAGGACGGTGCCACTCTGCATCCCGTCTGTATGCATCACTGCTTGCTGAGAAGACCTGATGTGAGACATACAAATGTATAAGGAAAACTCACCTGGGTGGCTCACAGGGCCGCCTGCAGAGCTGGTGTGGAGCAGCACAGGTCCGTCTGGGACTGGAGGTGGAGGTGGAGGCCCCAGTGGGATCCCGGAGGGAGTCGGTACCAGAAGAGGAAGGGGCTGTGCTGGAAGCCAGGCAGGGACTCCAAGGAGAAGAGGGGACTGCAGCTGTCCTGGAGCAGACACTGCCTTCCTTCCTTCTTGGTTTCCCTTTTATAGCAGCCTGGGCACTGCACCCTAGGGTGGGTCCTCCCACCCACAGCTCGCTGAGCCAATTGCTTGGGTCCTTCTCACTCAAGTTGACTCCATGAGTTAGCTGTCGCACACTTGGATTTTTTTTTTTTTTGTCTTTTTCGTTTTTTATGGGTACTAGGGATCGAACTCACGACTGCCTGCTTGCAAGGCAGGCGCTTATGCCGCTGAGCTAAATCCCCAGCCCCGCACACTTGGATTTTCAAGCTGCTGTCTCAAACTTTTAAGAAGGAAAAGAGTCTGGGATGTGGCCCAGGCTAGGGCCATGGGTATAACTCTAGTACATGGCAGACACAAGATGGAGTGAAGGAGTGAATTTCCATGAGCTCCTGGGAGTGGTAGTTGTTCCAGCGTGGAGCTGAAAATGAATTTGACTGCTGTATGGAATTACTGACAGAGTGGGCCTCGATTTATGATCTTAAATTGTTTTCCAACTTTGGGAAGATGACTGCGTTTGTGAGTGTGTGCAGGAGAAGGCCGAGGTCATGGTAGTTACCTGATGAGGAGTTTGCTAACTTGGTTATTCACAAATAGAATTGTCCATGAAGAAGGCATTACTGTATTTTGGATGTATTGACTTACATAAAATATATTGTTGGATATTATCTGGTTTTCACTTTTTAAAATGTAGGTTCTAGAAAATTACACCCAGACTTGGTGTCACATGCCCATAATCATGGCAGTTGGGAGGCTGAGAGTTGGAGGCCAGCCTGAAATTCATAGCAAGGCCATGTCCAAACAATACAAAATAAAACCCAAATTACCTACTAGTTCACTCTCTATTCCTGTTGTAAAGTGATGATTGAAAACACATGATCATTCTATGTGTTGTAGGAAATGCAAAATTATGTTTTTTAGGTTGGCCTGGTGGCCCAAGGTTCTAAGCACAGCAATCTGAGAGTCTGGGGCAGGAGACTCACAAGTTTGTATCCAACCTGGACAACTGGAGTGACTTAGCACGAATCTGTCTCAAAATAAAATAAAACCAAAATTTAAAAAGGGGGGATGGGAGCTGGAATGTCACTCAATTTGAAGATCTCGGTTTTAATCCTCAGTACCACACAAGACAATCAAACAAAAATTATTTTTTAGAGGACACATAGAATCTGCTCAGCTCTCTGTTAGCTTGTTTTCCGAGTGGGAGTAGATGTGATTTATTTATTTTTTAGTTTTTCTTTGAGACAGGGTCTCACATGTAGTCTAGGACGGTCTCTGACTTTGGCCATCCTCCTGCCTCATCTTCGAGTGCTGGAATTATAGGCACAGACCACCAAACCTGCTGGAAGTTTATTTTCTATTTAGTCATTTGTCCTCTTGAACTCTTCAGCTTTCATAAGAGCCTGTAGTCTTGTCTTCCATCTACTGAGATTGTTTGTTTTTTTTTTTTTAAGACAAGGTTTTTTTTTTTTTTTTTTGTCTTTTTTTGAGACAGGGTCTTGCTATGTAGTTCAGGCTGGCCTTGTGCTCACTTTGTAGCCCAGGCTGGTCTAGAACTTGCAAGGATCCTCCTGCCTAAGCCTCCCGAGTGCTGGGATTAGAGGCGTGAGCCACCACACCCAGCATTAAGACAGTTTTGCCATGTAGCCCAGATTAGCCTCCAATTTGCAGTCATCCTCATGCCTCAATCTCCCAAATTCTGGGATTACAGGCGTGAATCACCACACCCTGCTTCACTGAGTTTTAGACACATGGTTCAGCACTTAACAGACGATATAGAAAGTACATTGTCCACATCACCTGGAAGTATGTACTAAGACTCAGTTGTTTATTTAGTATTTACCAATTTGAACTAATCACATTTCACTGTTAATTTAAAGAAATCATGACTATTACTGAAAAACAAGTGCTGTGAGTCTTTCTTTGGGGCTAGTTCAGACTTAGCAGTGCAGCTGGGTATGGTGGTGCATGCTTATAATTCTGGCACTCTGGAGGCTGACACAGGAGGATTGCCCCAAACTGAGGACCAAACTGGGCTACATGGTGAGTTCAGGAGCAGCCTGTACTACAAAGTGAGACCGGCTAAAAAACCAAAAACCGAAACAAAACCCAAATAACAGAAGTATCAGTAGAGCTTTGCACAAAACCATGCCCTCAGAGTTCTTGTGGGGAAGTAGCTAGGGGGTACCAAATACTTTTCTTTCCTCACCCCTCTTGGCAGCTTGGTTGTAGCTTGGGACTGGGGTCTGCTCCCTGGCTCCCTGGCTCCCTGGCTAAGGCCTAGTGTTTCCCGGTCTGACTGCAGGAGTCCTTGTGGGATTGCACACGCTCTCAAGGAACTCAGAGGCCACTCTGTCGGTCGAGGGGCAAAGTCACGTCTTGGGAGGATTCTGGACCATGATCTGGCAGGAAGTCACCAAGCAGAGCTGTGGGGCTTGGTGAGTGAAGATGAGCTGGTGTTGTCTGAGTCACAGGTTTTGAGGGTTTCTGGCCATGCCATGTCTGAGCTCACCCTAACAATTTAGTTCTACTTAGTAGTGACTTGGTAGGATTTACTTGATTCAGGGAACCACATGGGTAAATTTATCTCCAATTCCACATAATGGCTGTAATTTACAAAATTCATATTCCCATCATTCAGCAGGTGAATTCTCCTTACGTTATACCTAATGTAAAATATGGAATAGTCCTTGGGTCTTTGGAGACTGATGTGCTCCTTCTAAAATTACTGTCAAAAATTGACAGGCAAAGACTTTATGAACAAAAC